CGTGTCCAAGTTTGGAACAGAGGGTCATGCAGGATTGTGGAAACACCAGGAGTGCCCCTCAGAGAGCTCTTAGCTCTTCGTCCACGTTGCTCTCAGAAGATTGCATCTGAACATGAAATAGGTTGCAGCAGAATACGGCAGTCCAGTGGAAGCACACATGTTACTGCTTTGCTTCATAAACCCCCGGCATTTTATTGAGGAGGATCTATTGCTAAAAATGTAACTCAGCTTTCAGATACAATGGCTGTATTTGTTACTTGGCAGCTGCGGAATACACCTTTTCGTGAGTAGTTTTTCTTTCCAAGAGCTGAGCAAGGTTTCACTTCAGGAAGTTTCAAACTTCATGCAGTTGAGATTGAAGCACATTTTCCTGTTTCCAGTTCACACGTTGCTGTGGTAACTTTGTCTCACTTTTAATGTGATGTAAGAACTGCAACCTCTACTTGGTACTTGGTCCAATTACTAAACAATGTCAGCGACCTCAGAGGAAATAATTGGAGAGATGAGAAATGCTCCTGCAGATTTTAGGCGTGCTTTCCAGGTCAGCCGATGACGCCTTATGGCTTTCCAAAGGTTCTCAGTAAATAGTAAATAAAACCTGAAACCATCAGTAGAACTCAATGAAATTCCGCTCCAAAAATCACGTTTCCTCTCTCCAGTAATCCTGGGCTGACCTTGGATAGCACACAGGAGTGAAAAGGTAACATAAGGCCGAACCTTTGTCTGGTTACTTGTAGTAAAATGTCTGATAATATTTAGCATATTTGCCTGGAAGCGTTAAAAACCATTCTAGGATCTTAATCTTTAAATCTCTGGAGAGCTGCTGGTGAATTTTTAATTCAGTTTTTCTTTTTTCAAACACTTGACATCTGAAAAGTATGCAGTTACAAGCTGGAAACAGAAATTTGGATTGTCACCAAAAATACTTCTTCATGGGTTAAAAAAATGTAAATCTTCACAGGGCAATTTGATTGAACTGCTAGCTCAGGAAAAATGAGTTGAAAAATGTGTCTCTAAACTTACATCTCTAATCAGGCTATTAGGGGTCTGAGGAGTATGTGAATCAGCAGTTTACCCTGATTTGGGTGATATTTGTTCCATATTTTTACATGCAATCATTCTTTCAACTTTCTGAGTGACGTTTGCAATTTCTCAGTGAAAATTCTGATTGTTACCTGTAGGATGTTTATAAACTCATCTACCCTACCCAGGTATGGTTCCAAAGACTGGAGGGTTCTTATTTTAATGTTCTTGTAAAATTAGCCATTGACTTGGTAAGGTTTGACTAATTTGACATGTAGCTGCTGGTGCCTATCAATCAGTACAGCAGAATCCTGTTAGCTAGGAAGATTTACAGCACAGCTTTGGACAGTGTTCATACATACACAGGTAAGTAGCTGTGTCTTCTGCTCGCAGTAGAAGGAATATAGGGAAAGATTGATTCAAATGCATGTTTTACATGCCGTGTGTGGTACACAGGGCTGTGAGATGTTCACTAAAACGTCTTTCTGTTGGTTGCTGCCATGCAAGTGTTTCCACAGTGTATGTGAGCAGCTATCTGCCTGTCCTTGGCAGCAAGGAAGGGAGCAGAATTCAGATTCTCATTCCCCAGGATCCACAGAAAGTTCATTTTGGGTCTCTGGAGCTTCCCAGGGAAGGAAAGAGCTGCACATTCCTTCCTCTACCTGGAGAGAGTCGAATCTAAGTTATTTAGGCCCTCGTGGTTTATTAGTTTGTCAGTCCTGTGAAGATCTGCTTTGCAGGGTGCCAGGAAGCAAGGGAAGACTGCTGGACCTGTTGTGGTATGGGAAGGACAGGGATCCAGGATGGAATAGCCTTGTGGCAGTCACCTCGGGTGCGTAGCCAGAAGCCTTATTTCAGTGGCAGGGTAACCCTGATTTCCCAGCAGAATGATGAGTTCCCTTCACAACTTTATTGCATCCCCAGTGCTACAAGGAGCTTTTAATTTTTTGATTGATTGTCCTTTTTTATTGCTCAAGTGCTGTGTGGCATATTGCTGGCTTTTGTCACTGTAGCCTGTTTTGAAAGACTGACTTTTATACTGCTTCAGATTTTCACGGCTGGAAGAATTGCAGCTAAATGGGTAAGCAATATACTGCATAGTCAATATTGGTCCAAATGGGCTTGAGAGAAAAGGTGGGTTTCATTTAGAGACATTAGAAATCATTCTTTCCATGGATCAGGGCAGTCATTGAGCTTGAGGGGCAAATGGGAGCAGGGGCTGCCTGCTAGGGAAGGGGTGAGCACCTGCTAGCTCAGTTGGATATTAAAGTGGTATAGTTTGTGTAGCCTTCCTAACAATTTATTTGGTGGAGAAGCCGTTTGAGTTCAGTACAGTAGGGCACCTGAGGTGTTGTGGCTTCTTTTCAGCAGGCTTCTACATGGAGAGCAAAGAGCTATTTAAGTAAGGCTGAGGCAAAAACAATAAGGTGGTATGAATAACTTAATTTCAACAGGAGGCAACAGTTTAAATACAATACAGAAAACAACATGGAGTTGCAGGCTCTGAGGAACAATTAAAAATGCATAGCTTTTAGTAACTTGATGGACAGGTCTCAATTCAGAAAAAGAAAACAGCAAGCAAATATTAATGGGACCTGGGCATCTATTTGAAGTTAAGCAGGTGCTGAAGTGCTTGGCTGTACAGAAATGCAGAGATTTAATTAGGATCTTGTTACGTGTGGCAGGCATCTCTGACTTTCAGGCTGGAGAGGGAGCACCAAGAAAAGCTAACTCTAGGATTCCAGCACGTGGCGTGGGTTCCTGTGCTGCCTTTCTGTAAGCAGTTTGTATCTCATATTGGAGCATTTTGTGAGTATTCCAGGCCTGCAAAACTCCCTGAGATCATTCAGCAAGGAGGCAGAAGTCGCTGTTTAAAGTAAAAATAAAAGTAAAAATAGAGAAGAGTCCTTTGCAACTGTAAAGAAGTCATAGATGAGGCAATCATTTGTTTTCTTTGTTGGTCATCTGCTAAGTCGAGTTCTGGACTTTCTGCTCTGTTGGAGGTTCGTATGTCTGCAGGTTTTTTCCAGATAGGAGTTGTTTGGTGACTTTTTTATTTTCAGGGTACGTACTGTAGTGTATCAGGTTTAGCAGCTGCATTGGTACAGTGAGCTAAACTCATTAAATTGATTCCACATGTGATAAATACCAGATTAAAACAATGAACAGCTCTCAAGTAGAACTTTCCTATCTTTAGTGTCAATAACGTTGCAGTTAGAAAGTTGGGGGGAAAAACAACCAACCCCAAATGGTAATGTTGTGTGCATGTTGCTTATTTGGGAAGAGAACTCTTAATTCCCTGTGATGTTTTTGGAATGGGTAAGGGGGTGAAGTGTGAAGTGAGAAAGAGCTCAGAACTGCTTGTCCTGTGCCTGCTCAGCAAGTCCAGGGGATAGCAGCAAAGAAATGGGTTGCCCTCCCTCTGTCCTTTGTCACAATACCAGTTGTAGCTATTGGAGTAAAATTGTAAATGATTAAAAGTGCTTTTCTGATCGGAGGATTTACTGTAGAAAAACCTACAGTGAAATAATAATAACAGTATATTTATTATAACAATAAATAAAGAATCCCAGCAGTAATCACCAAGAATGGTAGCCAGCAGTTAAGTGTAGCATCATCCAAACGCTTCGGTGGTGGGCTGCTAGATACTTTCCTCAAAAGAGCAATGCTTAATTGTCACATATTTGTCTGCCTCTTAAAAATTCCTGCCGGCTTTAAGGTCATTAAGACGTTTCTACCAGTGTTTTGAAAGGTTTTCAGTGTATTTTAGGCTGGTGAACTGCAAAAACGCAAACGATTACTTTGTTGATCTTGTTTTTAAACTGAACTGCATTATCGACTCAGTGTGTTCTTAAGGTATTGTTAAAAGTGCTTTGAAAACTTGTAAATCCCTGTAATTTATGTTCCTGTGGTCTCGACTGCTTCTTTCTGTCCTTCTGGTTTTAATTTGAACGCAGTCTTGTCTGGGTGTGTACCTGTAAAATTGTGTTTTTCCAAGTACAATTTACAGTCGTGACCCTAAGTTTTACAGTGTTCAGCCCTATAGGAGCTTCCTCCTATGCCGAAAAGCCAACTTTGGGTCAGACAGCTCTTTCATATTATAATTGTCTAATCGAGGTTCCTTGGAACAGATCCTGACGTTTTGTAGTGTATCACAAAGGCTGTATAAGAATATCAAGTAAATGGGAAAGGTTCCTTTGCGAGAGACCAGTATAGCATTGCCTGATTTCTTCAGATGTACACAGTTGTAAACTTAGCCTGCTTCATGACAACAGTCCCATTTATCTAAACAATTCTCCTTTTAGAGTCAATGGCACTGATAGAAACTGAGATAAGCAATACAGATGGGAGGGTCTTTCAGAGTCTCCACTGAAACTAGTTGCTGTGCAGCTTACAATCACCTTTTCTTTTCAGTGCCTGAGAATGCATAGCAGACATCCACGATGAAACAGAGTCCTCTCTGGCTGCCAGAGAGCACTTGGGTAAAGGATGAGCGAGCTGCATGTGGGTTTTTACAGTCCTGGTGATCTCGGATCTTGCTCTTGACTTTTTTTCCTTTTTTTTTTTTTTCCTTTTTAATAAAGACGTGCTTACTGTGTTTAAATGGCTGCAATTGGGAGACTTGTTTTGCAGTTCTAACTCACAACGGTCCCTTTGCTTTCATTCTTTGCCTTACGTGAAAGTATTGTTATCTTCAGATTAATCTCTTTCTTGTTTTTTTTTTCTTTTTTAATTGTCTTTTTTGGTAATAGAAGCAAAAGCAGTTTACAGCCTTGGTGTTCCTCTGCAGTAAATACAATACTTGCACACTAAAACAGGAGTTACTCGGACTAAATGTTCTAAGATTTATTTTTAGTATTTACTAAGATGTTTTCTTCTCATCCGCGCTCATATTTTCAGCATGACTTCAGCACTGGTTGATCCACAGGAAGACCAGATAGAGCACGTGTCCTCACTCTGTTACGTTTGTCTTTCAGATCATTGTGCAGTCTGGCCGTCACCCCACCGTGCTGCAGAAGCTGTGCCAGTTGCCCTTCCAGTACTTCAGCGATCCTCGGTTAATCAAAGTGCTCTTCCCTTCGCTGATAGCTGCTTGTTACAACAACCCTCAGAACAAGCTCATTCTGGAGCAGGAGATGAGCTGTGTGCTCCTCGCCACCTTCATTCAGGTAGCAGCGCCGTGCAGCAGTGCTGCAGGATGACTGCGGCCCTTTTTCTCGCCTTTGCTGTGTGCATGGAAATTATTTGCCTTACGTAAAGCGAGTAAACAGCACTGAAGTACTTTAAGATCCTCTGCAGCTCTTTTCAAACCACAGATTATGCCTGTACTTGAGATATCTTATAACGCTGAAAGATTACCCGAGCAGTTCAGGTTCTCGCTGTCGCGTGCAGAATCCTGCTTTCACTGAAGTCAGTGATGTGCCAGAAGGATGCGATGCGAATCGTACTATTACAAGGCAATCCTTAAAATACTTAACTTTTTCTAAGCTACTGCATATGCAGCATATTTGAAATCTGCGTATTGATGTGTTTACATCTAAATGTATGGCTGTATATTGCACACAACAGATTTACAGAGAACAGAACAGCAGTGTATATATTTGATGCACACAACATATGTTACCGGTCTAATCGTGCAGTCTTTACTTCTGACAGTAAGCCACTGAGGTCGTTACAAATACTGCTCTGAGTAAGGTTTTACAGCAGCTTTGTTCCCTTTGTGTCAATCTATATGCTGTGCTGTACTTACCAAACCTGTTTCATGCTTTCTATATATTTTACTGTCTGTTTTTAAATAAGTAAATGCTGTTTTCATCAACGCTATCACAAAATAACGTGCTTTGGTCACCTGGAAGTTCCTGTTATTGCTACAGAAACGGTCCTGCAGCTCTTCCCTAAATGCTTTACAGCCAGTCCTGAGGCAGGCTGCCCCAATTGAGGGGAAAGGACGCAAGAACTAAATATTTACTGCAAGTTTCAGCGTGACTCCTGAGTTACTGAGCACGACTGCTTTTCGTTCTTTGAACACTCAAATAGTAGCAGCTTAAGGAAGAAAGAAAACTTTTGAGCTTAGCAGAATTTGCAGTGGAGCTTCTGTTGAAATATGAAGCCCTAATTCGTGCCTCACCTTGACTTTTTTCATATGGACACATTTTAATGTGGGAGCTACAGATATCACTGTAGAAGCTGCGGTGGCAAAAAGTAGCTTCAGCAGTATGAGAAAACACAGCAGGCTGGATTTGTGTTCCAGTTCAAAAATACAGAGAAGAGTAGGGAAGAGTCCCCCATCAAATAATTAGCTTTATTTGCCTTGATTCCTTTTCTCTACTAGAAACTGTGGCATTTAAATCTCCACTAGCTGCAGCAAAACATATTTCCAAGGGTCGGTGTTATTAGTTTCACTTCCAATTAGAGCTGGATTTCTATCCCAGATGCCAAGTCCTCATACTGTTCTTCCAGGCTTTTAGAAGAGGTGTTGCATTAATGTATAGAAGATCCTTGTGTGTGTGATCTTACTGCCTTGTCATTGCTCACCTCCCTGCTACTTCACTGTTGCACCCCTTTGAGAATCAAACCCCAAATGTTGAACACGCGCAGAGAGCGAATCCGGCAGGCACAGAGCAGCGCTCCCATAGCTGTGCACGCAGCAGAGCCCTGCCCCTCTGCTTCGGTTTCAACCCTCTGCTTTTTTGTCAGGCAAATCCCTCACTCCCTTCCGTGGAAGTTTTGGTAAAGTCTGCAAAATATTTCCCTGGGACCAGAAAATGAGATTCTTCCTGTGCCAGGGAATGCAAAAAGAAGCCCTGTTTATGTAAGAGTTTGGTGGTGTGTACAAATATAACACTTAAATATAGTGTGTTAAATGTGTGCAGCATCAATCAAAGGAAAATGATTGCTGGATTTTACAACTATCAGCGTTGCACCTCCCTGCCAGCAGATCTGCTGCCATCCCCTGAAGGTTGCATCATCTTTTCTCTTACTTCTGTCTCTGGATGCGCTGGAACAATTGTAAAAAACATTCAGAAACAGCCACGCTCTGTTAAATTGTGTCTCGTGTCAAACGACCCCAGCCCTGCTTAGGGAGTGCAGGAACAAAAGGCGGTTTGCTCAGAGCGCTGCGCACTGGAGCAGCCCGAGGGAGCGGGGCTCGCTGTGCTCTCTGGAGCTGATCACGGCCTTGGGAGAACTTTGCCTGCTCTCAGGGAATGGGGATCTCGAGCTGCAGGGTGGAATTGGGTCGGTCAGCAATGGAGTGAGAGCGTGTTTGGAATTCACAGCCTGACTCCAAAACGCGTGGTAAAGAAATACGGCCGTCGCCACTGTCTCAAATTGAAAATAGTGAGAATAATTATTTCTGAGGAAGGTAATAAAACCGCTATTTCTCTGCTGTAAATTAAAAATGGATGTACTTTGAAATTGTGCAAAATCCACTCTGAGCTATAGAAACTAAGTGCTGGCAGTGTCCTGATACAACGCGTAGCAAACAAAGCGCTTTGTTAACATGCAGATTTCATAAAGCATTCGTTTTCTTGGCCGACTTCGAAGACTTTACAAAATGGTTTTAATTCCTCAAATGCGAGATCTGAAAATCTGATGCTCTTTTTCTTTCCCATAGGATTTTGCACAGAGCTCAGGCCAAATGGATAATCTGTTATCTCAGCAGAGGGGTATGTCTCCATTGAATGTAACGGAGTACAACTGGGTAACAAAATATGTGCATACTGTGTTTTGCTGTGACTTGGATATTTTTTGCATCTGCATCACCATAAAAAGGAATACAGTAAACTGCAAAATGATTTTCCAGTCTTGGGAGAGGCTCTCTAGCTTAAAATCTGACCTGAAAGTATGCGACTTCCAGTCTTTGCTCACAGTATCAGGAATCTGGGCTGTTAATCTTTATTAAACGCTACGTGGTATTCTGTCTTAAAACGTGATACTGTACGTGCACGTATTTAATTAGCTGTCACAAAGGCTGCTTTCAAAAGTCTTAGGTTACAGCAGCCGTGCTGCCATCCCAACACACCCGAGGAGCCAGAAATTAGTAAAATACTGTCCTGTAATTATTCCACCAAGTTCCTTGGGCTGCAGGAGTTGCATTGTTTTCCGAGTTGTAAATACTGCATAAAAAACAGCTAAGCCACCTATGCTGGCCAGTTGGAAGGCGCTCAGCTAAGGCAGCTCTTGCTCATTAAATAGATGGGAAATTGAAGTATGCTGGTGGGGAAAACATCTGGAGTCACCCACGTTTTGCATGAAGTGCATCTCCCATTTCTCCCTCATAGTGGGCAGAGTTTCACCACAGCATTGCTGGGGGGTTGGCAGGGGAGGAATGGTTCTAGCTCTAAGTCACAAGATTTTTAAAAATACACTGCAAAATGAAGGTAGGTATGGTGTGATTTTTACTGTCGGCATTCATCCCTTCCAGTCTGAGGCAGCCTCGTGCAATGTCTGCAAAACAAACTTTCCAGAATTAATGTGTTTGCATGAGAATCAGCTTGAGAAACAGCTAAAATTCAAGCAGGGAACTGCTTTTTATTTTCATTATTCAAACGGAATGAGCTTTTAAACAAAGATGACTACGTGGTGACATGAGAGTGTGATTTCTAAACATTCCCCAGATGCAAAAAGAGGGGATAATAATAGCAGCATAGGCAGGATTATTTTTATCTATTTTATCATGCCAGTGTGAAGGGCAGCATCCCCCCCAAAATGCAAACAGGAACAAAAATACTGCTTATAACCAGGAGGGGAATGGCTCTTTTCGAGGGTGGATAGTGATAGCACGAGGGGGAATGGTTTTAAACTGAGACAGGGGAGGTTTAGGTTGGATATGAGGAGGAAGTTTTTCACCCAGAGGGTGGTGAGGCACTGGAACAGGTTGCCCAAGGAGGCTGTGGATGCCCCATCCCTGCAGGCATTCAAGGCCAGGCTGGATGTGGCTCTGGGCAGCCTGGGCTGCTGGTTGGCGACCTGCACACAGCAGGGGGTTGGAGCTGGATGAATATTGTGATCTTTTTCAACCCAGGCCATTCTATGATTAAAAGAGATCTTGGGAGTTCTCCACTGCTCGGTTCAGGGTTGGGCCTCGCAAACCTTGGCACATGTGTGCAGCCTGCTGTCCTCATGGGAAAGCTGTGGGTCTGGGGGCTGAGGAGCAGCTGCTGAGGAGGAGGCAGGGCCGGATGGGAGCACGCACCGAACGCTGTGGGCTCAGAGCCCTGCGCTCACCTCCCTGCATGGCGTGAGGATTGGAGGGGGGGGGGGGTGAGGAGGTGACGTGGCCGGAGTTGGCCGCCTGTTCATTATTCTTGTTTTATTGCCATCTTTCTGAAGAGGGAATAACCGGATAATTTTACCTTCTGTCTCCCACAGAGAAGCGGTTCTGCGCTCAGGACTCCCTCGAGCTGCCCAACCGCTTCCCCCGGCAGTGCTGGGAGGAGGCCCGGCAGTTCTTCCTGCGGCGCTGAGGGCCGCGCCGACGCACCACCGCTGCTGCTGTAGATACGTGTAATTTGCACTATTTATATCCCCAGCACTGTAGATACTTTCGAGTTCTGTTTTGTAATTTTGATAATTGGAGCTAATTTCAGTCGTGTGTCCCAACGTCCCGGATCCTTCTTACGGTGTGGTGTGCTGGCATTGGAGCTGTGGAGAGGAGACTGGAAGCAGAAATGCCTTCTGTACATCTGTAATAAAGTAACTTATTCTGGCTGTGGTGTGCTGGGCTCTGAGTTGCCATGAGGAAAGGCTCTGGGGGGGGGGGGGCTGGGGTCGGAACAGGCTCTGGGGAACCTTCGCTTGTAGTTCAGTGGCGACTCGTGGCGGCGTAACACGGATTTTGTAAACCACGCACATTTTCACCGTTTCGATAAGACTTTAATAACGCTCCTTTCAACCTTGTGCTGTTCTCTTAACGGGGTAAAATCTCCACGAACCGCAATTAAAGCCTGTGAAGCAGCCGCCGTCTCCTCGAACTTTCTTCCGCGCGCCGCCCGCCCCGAGCCGCCCTCGTGCCCGCTGTGCCCCCAGCGACCCGGCCCGGGGCTGACGGCGTTCGGCCGCCCTGATTTCCTGTCCGATCTGCGGGCTGCCGGAGCTCCCCGCAGGTAACTCCGAGCCCCGCGGTTAAGCGGGGATCCCTCCCACCCGCCCCGGGCCGGCGGCCCTTCCGCAGCCCCTCTCTTCCCCTCGCAACCCGGGCCGCCCCGTGAGCCCGACGGCCCCGCAGCGCTCGACCCGCGGCTGTCCCCGCGCGGCCGGAGCTCCCTCACCGCCCCACGACACCGCGGCGGCTCCGGGAACGCGAAAGGTCGGGGCCGCGGAGGGCCGGCCAGGCTGAGAAAGGGGAGGGAGAGGCGGGGAGCCGGAACGGGAGCGCGGGCGGAGGAAGGAAGGCGAGGAGCCGCTACCGGGGAGAACGGAACGTCTGTGTGCGAAGGGGAGCCCCGCGGCAAAGCCCCGCATCGCGGCAGGTGCGGGCCGGCCCCGGGCGCTGCCCGAAAGGGAAAGCCGCGCTCCGCCTCCCGGCTATAAATAAACGGGCGGCGGTCGGAGCCGATTAGCGGTGCGGGTGGCGATGCCGCAGAGCCGCGCCGCGGGCTGAGCCCGCCCCGCCCGGAGCTCCGTTTCGTTGCAACGTTTTCGTTTTCCTTTTTTTTGGTTTTTTTTTTTTTTTTTTCCTTTTTGTTCGTTTGTTTTTATTAAGTCCAAAATATTTAATCCCACTATTCAACCGCTGACTCTGACAATAAATAGCAATAACTTACTTTTGTTCGTTTAAAGGCTCAAACAATCCGTCCTCCGTCGGTCGCTAACAACGCCGGCAGCGCTGTGCCGTCGCACCGCCCCGTCTCCGCGCTCCGGCGCTGCGGGAGGCACCGGCGTGAGGCGGCCCCGACGGCCGCGGGGCTCCGTTCCCCATTCGCTGTGATTCGAGTTTTCGTTTCTGTTCCAGGCGAGGAAGAAGAGCCGGCGCCGCGCCGGGCAATCCGCTTTCATCGGGGAAAAGAAACATCGAAATACGCAGCGCCGAACCTCCGCGCAACGAAATAAGCGGGGCGGGGGCTCTCCTCTCTCTTTCTCTCTCCGGTCCGGTAAAGGCAGCGAGAATCCCGGCTCTTTTCGGCCGTCGGCAAGGTACGTTCGGTTTGGTTTTAAATAGGGATAATTAAAAGACAAAGGCGCTCGTCCGGCGCGCTGGGCGCGGCGCGGGGCCGGGTGTCTCATGCAGGGAGCGCGGCATGCGGAGGTCCCGCGGCGGCGGGAACCGGGCGGCCTCACGTCTCGGCCGGGCTGGGCACCATGCTGTTGGGAGTGTCGGGGAGCTGGGAGGAGAGCGAGGTCACGTCGCTGCCGGAGGACGTGCCCAAAGAGCCGGACTCGGAGAACGAGACCTGGGGGAGCAGCGGCGATGAGCCCCGCGGCGGCCCGCCCGTCCCCGCCCCGCACCGCTCCCCGCCGCGCCCGGGGCTCACCAGCTGCTGGAAGGCGGCGGGCGGCTCCAGGTCGCTCTGCAGCGCGAAGTCGCTGAGCGCCTTCCAGGGCGGCTGGTAGGTCTGCACCTCCACCGCGCTGCCCTGCACGGCGCTCTCGTGCCGGACGGGGCTGCCGGCCACCAGCGGCGTCCCGGTGAGGCCCTGCAGGCTCTGCGGGCACGCGGCGCTTCAGCGCGGCGCCCCGACTCCCCCCCCCGGTCCCCTCCCGAGCCTCCGCCCGGCCGCTCACCGTCTTGTCGCTGTGCTGCTGCTGCTGGAGCTGCTTCATGAGGATGGACTTCTTCTTGTCCTTGCAGCGCTTGTTCTGGAACCAGACGCGGATGACACGCGGGCTGAGCCCCGTCATCTCCACCAGCTGCTCCTTCATCAGGGCGTCGGGTCTTGGGTTGGCGGCGTAGCAGGTCCGCAGCGTGTGCAGCTGCTTCTCGTTCAGCACCGTCCTCACGCGGGTGGTCTTCTCGGCCGCTTTGTGCGACTGCGGCCGCGGGCCGGGCGGCCGTCCGGGCACCGGCTCTGCGCGGCGGAGAGAGGGAAGGAGGGAGGGAAGGAGGGCGCGCGCCGTCAGCGCCGCCGCCGACGGCCGCCCGCAGCCCCCAGCCCGCCCGTCCGCCCCGAGGAGCGGCAGCGGCGGGCCGGAGCTGTGTGCCGGTACCTGCGAGGTGCGCGGGCGGCGGCGCGGGGCTGCGGGGTCCGCGGGCGGCGGTGCCGTCGGTGGGCGGCCCGTGGTCGGCGCGGCAGAGCAGGTCGCGCTCCCGGAGGCAGAACTGATCCCCGGGCAGCAGCTGGCGGCCGCAGGCGGCGCAACGGAAGCACTCCAGGTGGTAGACGTGGTCGCGGGCGCGCATCACCAGGTCGCTGCTGCTGAAGGCCGCCCGGCACTGCGCACACTTGATGCCGAAGAGCCTGAGGGGCGGCGGCGCGCCGTCAACGCTCGGGGAGCGCGGGGCCGCGAGGGGCTCCGAGCTCGGTTCGGGTTCGTTTCGTTTCGTTTTAGAACGAGCGGGTCACCTGCCGTAGTCCCGCTTGCAGTAGGCCTTGCCGTCCCGCAGGAAGCACGTGCAGGTCTCGTCCAGCGGCTGCCCGCACTCGGCGCACTTGAGGCAGGCGACGTGCCACTCCAGGTCCGGAGACACCCGCAGCAGAAACGGGTCCTGGATGCGGCCCCCGCAGCCCGCGCACAGCGCCAGCCCCGGCCGTCCTGCGGGACCCGCGGCGTCAGCGGGCGGCGGGGGGAGGCTGCGGGCTGCGGGGCTTTGTTCTTTTTGGGGTTGGGGTTTCTGGTTGTTTCGTTTTTGTTTTTTGTTTTTGTTTTTGTTTTTGTTTTTAAGCAAAATTGAAAGAAAGAGAGAAATACGGGCGGGAACGGGGAAAGAAATAAAAGAGCCGCGACAGGAGAGAACGGAGCGGTGGGAATTCCGAGGAGAAAGTTGACTGGGGGAAATCATAGGAAATCAACCCAGGAAAAGATAGAAAAGTGGAATCTCGGAAGTGGAAAGAAACGCAGAAACGCAGAAAGAACAATACAGAACGAAGGGAAGGTGGAAAGAAAGAACGAAAGGAAAAGAACTAACGATGGAAAGACAGAAAGAGAAAGAAGAGCGAAGGGAAAAAAAAAACGGAAAGAGAGAACGAAGGCAGGAAAGCGGACAAACGAAAACGGACATCGGGCAGACAGAGAGAAAAAAAACCCCAAACAAAAACGGAAGAACAGAAAGAGAAAGAAAGAAAGGAAAACGGAAAGAGAAACAAAAAAAGAAAACCGAAACGAGGAAAGAGAAGGAGGGAACGAAAGAACGACGCGAGAAGGAAGGACGGAGCGAGCGCGGGGAGCGCGGCGGCGGTGCGGCCGGAGGGGCAGCGGGGAGACGCCGCAAAACCGTGCCGCCCCGCGCCCAGCCCGCAGCCGCCCGCGGGGCCCTTCCCGGCGCTGTCAGCGAGGCGCCCGCCCGACGGCACCGCGGCGCCCCGCGGCCCTCCCGCCCCGGCACTTACTCTTGGCGGGCTCCCCCATGGCGCTCGGGAGCGGCCGCGGCAGGAGGATGTCCACCATGCGGGCGGCCCCGTGCGCACCGGCGGCGATGCGCGATGCGGGACGCGGCGCCGCCGCTCCACCACTACCCGCGCCGCGCGGGGCGGGGGCCGCGCCCGCCCCCCCGGGCCCGCCCCGCCGGGCAGCGCCGTGATGTCAGCGCGCACCGGGCGCGGGGGAGGTGGGGGGGGGGGGGGGGGCGTGGGGGCGGCGCTGACCTCACCGCGCGGCCCCCGGAGGCGATTGGCGGCCGCGGGGAGGGCGGGCGCGGATTGGCCGCGCCGAACAATGGGCGCGCGGCGGGGCGCGGAGCGGCGCGGATCTCCCCGGAGCTCCGCCGGGCACCGGCATCGCGAGCCCGACACGGAGCGCGGAGGGCGCGGCGGCGGCCCCGGGGGACGGGCGGTGGCGTCGCTTTCCCCGTGTGCCCCGTGTTTCCCTGCTTCCCGCACTGTTCCCCGACCTGCCGTCGCCGTGCATTTTCTCCTCTTTGCGCTCCCCTTCGCCGCCCCGCCTCCCGTCCCCTTTTTCGTTGCCGTCGCTCCAGGTTTCGCTGCGGGGCGATGCTGTCAGGAGCCGGACACCGGCGGCCGCCCCGACGTTCGCGGCCCTCGGCCCCGTCGGGGCGGCCGTTCCCGATAGCGGCCGCCCGGCCAGCCGGGATCAGCGGGAACGGCCGCGCGTTGCGGCGCCTCCGTGCACCTGATCCCGCCGTGCTCCCGCAGAGAAACCTCCCGCGTTTCTTTTTTTTTCCTCCGTTCTACTCATCCCCCCTCCCCCAGTCTCCACGGGCTCTCTGTGCATTAGCGGAGCAATAAGCAGAGCACTCCAGCGGCCTCTGACTCGGTTTTAAATTCCCGCAGACTTTACGGCACGGCGGCAGGAGCGGCTCCTTGAGAACGCCGGCACGGCGGAATCGCTGCCGCCCCTGGGGCTTCGCGCCCGCCCAGCCGTGCTGTCGCCTCCCCAACGCGCAGTGCTTTGCGGGACGTGTGACGGGCGCGGGTCCACCTGCGCGGGTGCGGAAGGATGCGGTGGCCGCGGCTGTGCTCGGAGAGGTCGGGCTGTGGAGCGGCCAGATGGGTGCTCCAACCTGGGCACCGGCTCCGTGGGTCCGGCAGCCCTCGGCTGTGACACCGCAGAGGAGCGGGAGAGGAGGACTTGGCTAATCGAGGCCGTCTGTTTGACCCGCATCCCCCGCTTTGAGATGCTGAAAGCGGCCGCGTCGTGCATTTGTGCGGGAGCTGCGGGGGGAAGAGCTGCGGTGTTTGAGGTCATCCTCCAGCCGGGGGATTTGGGCATCCCTGCCCGCCTCCCGGAGCGTTCCGCCGGTGCCCGCGCATCCCCCCGGCTGCATGGCAGCGGCACCGTGGGGTTCGCAGCTGATTGCTGCCCGTCACCGGAGTGCTGAGCGGAGCCGGGTGGTGCGGAGGGCTCTGACGGCGGGCTGCCGGCTTTTCAGTGCGGCATTCCCCGAGGGGCAGGTGTCGGGGGCCTGAGTGAGTCAGTATCTGCGTGTTACCAGCAAAACGCAGAAATGAAATGTCAGATTACAGGAGGACGAGGCGCGTGTAAGGATAGGGCGGCTCGGCAGGCAGGTTGCGTGTTGCATCGCTCCTTTTCCCACTCCAGGGCAAGGTTCTCTATGCTCACCCAAACCTCCCTCCGTCTGGAGAGCAGGAGAGGTTACAGCAGGGCCAGCCCAGCGCCCCTGCCCTGCCAGGCTCAGCTGTGCCAGCGCGCACCGTGCAGAGCCCAGGAGGGGCTGCACGCGTGGTCAGACAGGCGGGGTTTGGGCAGGTAGGGGCAGGGCGCTGGAAAACCCCAAGAATTCAATTGCCGCGGAAACACCAAAACACCAAAAGCCCCGGACCTCCTGCAGAGATGTGCAATGACTGCAGGTAGCGCCAAGAGGCACAAAACCAGCACCTCGCGGCCCCGAACAGGGGCTGGTTGCTTGGAAAACAGCTTTCAGGTTGGCTGGCATTGCTGGGGAGCCGTGAGTGGAAGCCCGATGCCCTCCCTCGGGGCTGACGCTCCCTGCTGCCCCCGGTTCCCCTCTGCAGCTCTGGGGGCAGCCGGGGCCGGCCGTGGTGAGGGGGGTTGGCATCGCAGCTGCTCTCCGTGTAGCAGCTCTCCGGGTCGTGCTGCCACATACAAACACGAGTTGCCTCTAGAAAGGGGAAACGGTGACAATTTTGTTGTTTGCAGCAGATTGCAAAGGCAGTGAATGGCGATTCTTTCCGAGCCAGCCGTGGATTAAGTCCATTATAAAATTAAAACAGATGGAACGCAATTTCACTTGCGTTACAAAAAAGGACAGGAACCATCTGCAGTAAGATTTAGCATTGCAGAGCTATTGTTATCATGTTACCATTAAAACCTTTGAAGAAGGGTTTTCTTTTCTTTCGGAAACTCGTCCGCCCGAAACAAATGTTTTCTTTCTCCATCTCTCTCAGATGATGATATTTTATGTAAAAACACGACGTCTCTCAGCCACAGCTTTGGCTCCAGAGAGATATGCTGAAGCAAAGGTGGTAAAACTTCAGCCTTGAACTCTTTGGGTCTTTGGTGGGGAGGATGTGCCAAAATATCCCCCGTGCTTTCTTCCTTTAACAACATTTCCTTGGGTTTGGGGACAATGTCTGATACTGAAAATAGATAATTAATGAGATAATGGGATACTGCATGTCACCTCCTGTCCGATGGGATTATCTGATGGCTAATTATGGACAGATTGTGATTAATGTGATTATGGATTGGTTATTAATCTGATTCTGGATTGATCTAGTTATGTTTTAGTCTGCTCCAAATGGTTAATTGGATCTGAGATAATAGAAATGCAGCTTGCACCAGATTTTGCCACATCAGTTGATGAAGTATCTTTTGATCTGGGTGGGTTGCGAACAATAAATTATTTACAGCTGTTGAGAAAATGACTCTTCCTTAGAATGTAGCCATTCATTTTATTTTCGAGGGCCTTTGAAAACAAAATCAATATCCTTTTTAAAAGGAGATGTTGACAAAAGAAAGGCACGTACATAACTCACAAACAAATGTGACGAAATTAAACAGCGGTTAACCCGGTGGCCCAATGTCTGGTGATGCATTTGAATTGCTATGTGGAGCTTTGGGCTCAATTCTTCTGAGACCAGCAGGGGTTGGGAGCATTGCAGGGGAAGAGGGCCCAGCTCTGCAGAAAGTGGTATTGCACAAGAGCCGCTGCCAGCCCTGCTATTGATTAAGAATCAGCCGTGGTAGAATGGCAAAGGGAGTCCTTGCCACCCCATCCCCTCCGGGTGAGAGGGATGCAGAAAGCTCGTGGGCTCATCCCACCACCTCGTCTGACTCCCTCTGTACCAGGCCCTGCACTTGGCCTGGCGTTATTCTTTCTCCCCTCACACTGAGCCCATTGATTTCTGGGCGACCTCAGAGATGCGTCTGGTCTGGATGCAGCCTGCCAGCATGGGAGAGGCTGCCTGGATCCCTGCAAGGCCGTCCTGCTGCCTCCCTACTTTCACTGAAGTGCAAATTGAGTTCACATTTTTGGGATCTTGTGCCATTTTCTGCGGTGGCTGTGATGTAGGGGTTGAGAAATGGGGCTGGGAGGAGAGTCGGCACCAGGTGGGATGGGCAGCAGGTAGCTCACAGAGGTGCCGGCAATCAAGCAGGTCTCAAAGCTCTGAGAACAGGTTTATTGAGGCTGAATTGAAGGAAAAGAAAGGAAAAGCAACTTCCCCTTTTCTATGCTGCCATTCCCCCAGGTGCCCGTGCTGCTGCAGGAGTGCTGGGCTGCTGCCAGCGCCCCCATCCAGGTTCCTCCCTCCCCAGCAGTACAGAGGGCAGAGGAAGCAGCTCCTGCTTAAAAAATAATGCCATACAAGCCAGTGCTGCATTTTACACACATCTCCCATTAGCAAGGAGGTGAGGCACGCACTGGAGGAGGGATGCAGGGTACCGCAATGGGCACTGTGCAGGGTGGAGAGGAGTGCTCTGCGGGGGACCCCTTCCTTCCTCCCTTCCTGCAGGATGGTGTAGCAGGAGCTGCCTGCTCAGGGAGCCTGCTCTATGTGCTGAAGGTGCCTGCATACATCCCTCCTTGCCTGTCCTTGGCAGAATGACTGTTTCTTGCTCAGACAGTGACTTGCACTTGGGGAGCACTGGCAGCTTGCAGGCTTATCACTGCGCCCTTATTACCTGGTCTGCACCTGGAAATGGTTGATGAGAGATGGCAGAGAAGGGGAAACACTGGTTAGCAGTGGCTTTGCAGGCTTTGCAGGGATGGATGGCTGTTGGGGTGCTGCTGAGGGAGTGCTCCTCTCTGCACCCTGTGTTGGAGATGGGGCTGGTGGGGCTGTGCTCACCTGAGGGCTCACGGAGGGACTTGTGACAGACAGAGTGCTGGCGGCAGATGTGGGTGGGTGGCTGTGAGGTGATCTGGGCAGAGTATTAAGCTACACCGTGCTGGGGTTTTACACCAAAAGAACCCAAGAGTGTCAGGCTTGTATCTGTGGCAGGTGGGTGAGGAGCCAGGCCTTGGGGAGGTGCATGCCATGCTATTGCCACTGGCCCCACCTCTGTGGGGAAGGGCTTTGCAGCACTCAGGCACAGAGTATTTCAGCAGCAGAGCTCTCCCAACTCAGGTTGTCACCTTATGTCTCCCCCCACAGGCACCTGCCTGGCCCTGGGCTGCAGATCCTGCACTCTGAGCCCTAAGCAGGTTGCAGTTGCTTTAACCTTATTGGATTTTGACAGATTAGGAGGAGAATCCTTTCGTGTGGTGGAGAAGCCTCCCAAATGAAGCTCTTCTAATTTATCTGAGTCAGCTCTGCCTGGCGGTGGTGGGAGGAGTAAGCTGAGGACCCCTGCCAGAGGGGACCATCATAGCAGTAACAAAAAAAAATATGTATTCCTCCCCTTCACTAAATCCCATGGCTGTGAGGCTGTATTAGCTGGATTCCATATGTTTTAATTAGGAATTATGTATTTTAAGGGAACAAAAATCCGATTCTGATAGAGACGTGGCAACGCGTTTGTGATGGCTCTTGTTCTGTGTTCCTTCTGTCAGAGGCCCCAGGGCAGGCACACCTTTACAACCCTTTTATTCTAAGTTAGAACAACTGCATTATTGATTTGCCTCCCACCCCAAGAGTGTGAAAAAATGTAATTCCCTTTCAAATACAGAAATTGGGTCAGCAGATACTAATGAAATAATCCTGGATAACAATGCACTATAAATGGATCTGCTTCCACTAATTAATGGCTCATTTTTCTTTCAGAATAGAGTCATATCCTCTGCCCAGTGGCAGGATGATGACTCTGGTGCTGGCAGCACCTACCTGGTGCAGTTTTACTATGTTTATTGTTGTCGTGCTGGAGGTGGGAAGGCCAAGTTAACAAAGAAAAAATATAAAAAGAGCTTTTTGCCACTGTTCAGCTAATATGGATCGTGCTGATATAATCCCCAGCTGATTACAGTTATAAGCTCCTCCAACAGTGGCCATACGTGATAAAGACTTCCTTTGTGCTTCAGGGAATAATCCGCATCAAGCCAGTTTCAATAAAGATTACACGCATCTGAAGTGTTGAGGGTTTTAAATTAAAATTATAGACAGAAAATACAACAAGGAGCCTGATGTGCCTCCAGGCTGGTGACAGTACACCCAGAAACCTGACCTGGGGGGTGCCTGCAGCACGCTGCCCATCCAAAGACACCACATGCTGCTAAAGAATCCACTGCACTGCAGAAGAATCAACTCATTCTGGGCTCTGAAGCAAGTAGGTCAGTTTGGATGGAGATGCTCGTGGTTGTTTTGGGGTGAAGCACCAGCAAACCTCATAGCACCAAACCAGCAAGCAGGAGCTCAGTGGAGATCATACAGTCACAGAACCATGGAATGGCCTGGGTTGAAAAGGCCTACAATGTTAATCTGGTTCCAACCCCCTGTTATGTGCAGGGCGGCCAACCAGCAGCCCAGGCTGCCCAGAGCCACATCCAGCCTGGCCTCGAATGCCTGCAGGGATGGGGCATCCACAGCCTCCTTGGGCAGCCTGTTGCAGTGCGTGCTGCAGTGTGTGATACAGGGTTCAGGTGCAGACGGCTGCTCTCCTCTCCCCCAACACGTGCTCTCTCCTTCTGTAAGCTGGAAGCTCATTTCTGGAGCTGAACACAGCGTGCTACGGCTTTAATGAATGAAACGCATTAAGGACAAAGAAAAGCAGGGCAGGCAGTACTGCTCAGGATGCTCTTTGCATCCTTATTTTGCCGCTGTTCTTTTAGGCTACGCGGGGTGCAGTAGGAGGGGCTGTACGCTGTATGAACTTCATCTGTAAAGGGCTCCTCTTACGTTGTTTTACTGCCTTGGAATGTAGTCTAGCACAGAGCACGGGCTCGGGGCGCTCAGCCGCCCGCTGTTCGCTCCTCCGCACGGAGCTCCCCGTCTTCAACCTTCCCGCCGCCGGGGGGGGCGCTCTCCTCCGCTGTCCATTGGCTTCTCGCCGCGACCAATGAGGAAGCGGTGCGGCGCGGCGGCTCTCGCGAGAGCGGCGGCGGAGCGGGACGGCGGAGCCATGTTGCGGGCGGCGGCGGCGGCGCGCGGCGTGAGGAGGGCGGTGAGTGAGGGCAGCGGGGGCGGGGGTCGGCACGGCCTGCTGCTGAGGTTGGAGCCCGGTGAGGGGGGGTGGTCCTCGCGGCCGCTCGGAGCCTGCTGTGCCCGCGGGAGGCTGTGGCGCTGCGAGCCCCGCGAGCTGCAGCCGCAGTTAATCACCGTGCCGCCCTTCGCGGTGCCGCGCCGTGCTCCGCTGTCACGCTGCTCGCGTTACCGAACGGAGCGGCGAGGTGAGCTCAAGGACGGCCCCGCGGCTGTGCGAGCAGCGAGCCTAACGGGGCTGGCGGTCCCGCCGCTTTGGGGTCCGCTCCGAAGAAGCACTAAGAGCGCTAAAACGAGAGCGAAAAGCACGGGCGGCTGCGTGGCGTGCGGCACTGAAGGCACAGCTGTTGCAATCGCGGTGATGGAGTTCGGCCTCGCGCCTGCTGGAGCAAAGGTCGTTGTGGAAAGCAGCTGTGCGAGTGGTTGGCTCCGTTAGTCAGCTGCTGGCACTGCTGCCCGCGGGGGCCGTGCTGCCCAGCACGGAGGTGCGCAGGGCTGTGGAGCCTGGAAGCGTGAGGTCGGCTGGTTGGTCGGCTGTGTGCGCCCGGAGTGCTTATGTATATAGATAATGGGCTTGTTCGGCTTGGGAGAGAGAAGGCTCGGGGAGACCTCGGTGTGGCCTTCCAGTGCTTGAAGGGAGTGTATGAACAGGAGGGGAATGGCTGTTGGTGAGGTGGATGGTGATAGGACAAGGGGAATGGTCTTAAACTGAGACAGAGTGGTTTAGGTTGGATATTAGGAGAAAGTTTTTCACCCAGAGGGTGGTGAGGCACTGGAACAGGTTGCCCAAGGAGGCTGTGGATGCCCCATCCCTGCAGGCATTCAAGGCCAGGCTGGATGTGGCTCTGGGCAGCCTGGGCTGCTGGTTGGTGACCTGCACACAGCAGGGGGTTGGAACACAATCATTGAGGCCTGTAAAGTATAAGCAGTAAAGAGAGGTTAGAGCTGCATATCTTTATGAAAAGAGGACTGAGAGATACGGGTCCACAAGTACAGGAATAATTGGTGCAGATGTGGGAGTGAGCCATTTCAGTGGTAGGTGCAAATAAAGTTATATTAGTGGGCTTAAATTACAAAACAGAGTGTTGGGAAGAGCAAAGATAGGCATTAAGAAATCATTTCTAATAGAAAGCATGGTAGTTTTTTAGAATATCTTGCCCAAGAGTCATTGTGCTGATGGCAACCTAGGTGTGTGTTGGAACTATCATAGATTCAGCTGCTTATTGCATGGGCTACTGAAATGTAGTGTTCAGCTTGTAATGATATTAAACTGTGGTGATCAGAATTGTCTTGAGGTCACACATTTCTATCTCTATAAAATAGCAGATCATGTATTCCCTTAAAATTCTTTATTATTATTATTATTTTTTACCACGTAAACAAGTATTTGTCCCTTCAGTCTTTTTTCCTCTTCCTCGTAGGACATCGCACAGCACTTTAAGGCCATCACCTTCTAAATCTGTACCCAGTTGTCATTCAGCCTGTGCAGGTAGGCCTTACAAGGGCAAGCAAGCAGTGTTAGTCTTGGCTGCTTAAAGACTGAAGTGAATTGATCACCCTCGCTCCATGCTCCCTCAAAAAAGATTGACAGTGAAGGGCGCTGTGGCTCTCCATTTAAGAACACCATTTCACAGTATTTTAGGGGATGGTGACCCAGTTTTCATTGCTGCTGAGTCTTTTGGTTTCTCTTCACTCATTCAGAGCTCGCAACTCCCTGCTATTTCTGAAAACCGCGTTTTATTTCATACCCATATGTATGTGTGTATGTGCGTATATTGTGATGAACATGTGGGTTTTTAGTTTTGTTTTTGGCTTGAGGGACTTCAGATAAATGGATTTAATAGCCTGGAACGCTGCAACAAATGATGACCTTGCAGGAGAAGTGCTGGGTTGCGTTTGAAGGTTGTGAGAATACTTTGCATCTGTCCTTCAGTTGGCACTGGTGGCTCAGAGAGGTGGCTGCCTTTTTTAGCAAGGTCGTTTATCTTGAGTTTACTTTCAGTAGCTTTGTCTGTAGTTACAGACAGCTTTGCTTTGAGTTTTATTAACAATCTGTGTGGGGTGCATCTGGGAAAACTTCTTTACTACGTCTTTCTTTTGCTGCTTCAATTCCTTTGCAGTCACGTCTTGATTATTCTTGATTCCTAAATAAATTGTTAAGTATTTTCTTAATTTCTTTTGGTGTTCTCTGTTGCAGTTGCAGCTTCTTTTCAGCTTAGGTAACTTCAGTGTTATTTTTCCAGTTAGTGTTTCCTGGAGTTCAGTAGCTGTGTCTCAGACCTCTCCTGCTGCCAGGTGGTTACAGAAGCTCTACAAGTATAAACTTTATTGCCAGGTCTCCCCGATTGTATTGAGCTTGCCAAATATGTATATATGAATTTATTTAAGCTTTTCAGCCATGAGAGTGTCTTTTAATTGAATTAAGCATTATTTTGTTGTACGGGAATGCAGCCACCCCAAACCTTTGCCTCGAGTCTATTTTTAGGATTCTTTTCCTTCCAGTGCTAATGGGCCTGTATGAGATACCCGATTCCTATTAAGCAATTTTAGAGTGCTATTCTCTGGCCAGTTTGCTCTTACAGCTAAGAAGATGTTGTCTGTAGATTGACTATGGGCAGTTCAGTGTTGGCTGCAGAGGCAGTTGAGTCACCAATCCTACCAAACAGTAAGGAGAAATAGTAAGGAAACACCCTTGTCTGTGATTTTTTTTTTTGTGGTTAGTACATCTATTTTATAGTATATAAGCACTAAACTTGTATTTAAGAAGTGCTGGACCTCTATGCACTGTATGGGTGATCTGAAAGTCCAACATGCATTTGATTTTCATTAGCATTGCTGTGAGCAGGCTGCAGAGCTTTTGGCGTGGTTCTGCACCACAGCCTTATCTCTAAATTGGAGAAATATGGATTTGAAGGCTGGGCTGTTTGGTGGATAAAGAGTTGGTTGAATGGTTCCAGCAGAGGGTTGGCAGTGGCTCCCAGCTGGAGGCTGGTGATGAGGGGTGTCCCCCAGTGTTCTGTCTTAGGGTGGGTGCTCTTCATCATCTTCATAAATGACGTAGAAATGGGATCGAGTGCACGCACAGTGAGTTTGCTGATAGCATCGAGCTGAGTGTGCAGTTGATATGACAGAAGGAAGGGAAGCCATCCAGAGAGTCCTGGAAAGGCTTGAAAAGTGGAACCTAATGAGGTACAACAAGGCCAACTGCAAGGTGTTGCGCTTGGGTCGGGTCAATCCCAGGTAGGAACACAGGCTGGGAGAAGAATTCATTGAGAGCAGCAATGTTTTTAATTGGGTCCTGGACACGAGCCAGCAGTGTGCTCCTGCAGCCTGGAAGGCCGACGGTGTGCTAGGCTGCATCAACAGAGGGGTGGCAGCAGGGAGAGGGAGGGGATTCTCTTCCTCTGCTCTGCCCTTGTGAGGTTCCATCTGGAGTTCTGTGTCTCCAGGTCTGGGACCACAGTGCAGGAGGGATGTGGAGCTGTTGGAGTGGGTGCAGAGGAGGGCTACAGAGATGATCAGAGGGCTGGAGTACCTCTCCTGTGAGGAAAGGTTGAGGGAGCTGGGCTTGTTTAGCTTGGAGAAGAGAAGGCTCCAGGGAGACCTCATGGTGGCCTTCCAGCACTTGAACGGAGCTTACAAGCAGAAGGGGCACTGACTTTTTACATGGTCTGAGGGTGATAGGACAGGGGGAATGGCTTTGAAGTAAAGAAGAGTAGATGTAATATACTAGGAAGACATTTGTTACTCAGAGGGTGATGAGGCAATGGAACAGGCTGTCCAGAGAGCTGGAGGTGCCAAGAACAGGTTGTGTCGGATCCTGGGCAGCCTGGTGTAGTGGGTGGCAACTGCTCACAGCTGGGGGTTGGAACTGGATGGTCTTTAACATTCCCTCCAAGCTCAGCTGTTCTGTATTCTGTGATCACCTGTGCAAATTAAATGAGCACTGAGTGGGTGTGTGGCTTGTAGGCCTTAGGCATGGGTTTGTCTGTGCACGTGTAGCAGGTGTGTGCTGGATCTCTAACGTTTGGCTGGGACAGGAGCAGTGAGGAGTCCTGGTTGTTTGCACCAAGTCTGGAATTCCTGTGATTATATTTAAGGTTTTTGTATTCTGCTTGGAAATCACTGCTGGGTTTCTCAAGTGGGGAGCAGAAAGATGCCTTGGTGTAACTTGAGTAGATGATGGATTCACTGAATCCTTTGGTACCCTGCAAGTGACTGGCGTGGTGTACCCTGCACGCTTGTTTGGGTTAATCTCACCATCTGGAAGCCAGAGGCCAGGTTTGCTCTACACTAAATGGAGGAGGGAGGGAGCTGAGAACTCCAGACGTTTTTCCTTCATAGGTGTTTATTTGAGTGCAGGCTGAATCACTGTCTGGAGTTGCCCACAGAAAGGATGTGTGGATGTTTTCACTGTAGAGGGAGCATGGGTGCGTAGTGTCCATCTGTGTCCAAATAAATTCCTGTCATGTGGTTACTGCCCTGTTCTTCATGGTAAACTGGTGTGCTTGTGAGAAGGCACTTGATTGCCCAGGTCTGTAGGATGTTTAATTGTAATTAGTTGTGACGTGACTGTAAGTTGTTGAAAAAGTGAGCTATTTGCCACAAAAGCACGGAGTTATTCTTCAACCGGTGACCAGATCTCGTATCTTTTATTGCAAATGATGTATAAAATATAATCAGAAATATGCTGGTCTGTATTGGCAATAAATGTTTTGTTTTTGTAAATCTGGCAATTGGCTTCAAGTGTTCTTAGAATCTTTAATCCTAACAAGTAGCCTTAAGTGTAGGAGATGAAATGCAGAGTAATTTTACAAGAATCCTTATTGTTTAAAAAAAAAAAAAAAAAAAAGACTAATTATGGTCTTTATTCTGTAGAAAGGTGCCTTTTTATTTATATCTTTATCGTCCCAAGGAAGTCCTTGGGTTTGCTTTCTCTTTGTGAAGTCTGCTGTGCTGATGATATACACCTTGCCTGGCTGAAGTCCATGGCCACGTTTCAGCTCTCAGGTTTTCTGAAGCTTTATTTTCTGCTTTAAATGCTTGGTGTGCACGTATTTGTTGTGAGTGGAAATGCCCTTAGAAAATAAGTTAGAAGTAGTGCCGTCAGTCTTCAGTTTTTGCTAGCATTTATCTCCCTGCCTTTTCACTACCTCGGTGTTAGTCTGGGCAGTGAAAAGGATCAATGAAGCACCCTTTTATTGTGGTGGTAGCTGAGTGGTCAGTAGCATCTTATGTTGTGAAGACAAACACATTATCTACAGCTGAACCTGGTGCTGTTCAGCAGGCTTTATTAATATGTTTGTTTTTAGACTGGGAGCCTTTGATGCTTATTGCTATCCTGCTACTACTACCTCCAGTTCTGTTGTTGCACATAACTGATTACAACAGTGAGTTCTCTGGAAAGATTTTGGCTAAAACATATGGGGAAATAAATCAGTAAGACAAGTAACTACTGCTTACTCTTGATTTCCTGGGGTCTTAAACTCAGTTGTCTAATCCTCGTCTGGGTTTCAGTCTGCAGCCACAAACTATCTTCATGTTATGCTCACACTGAATTCTGTTCACTCTTTATGTATTTCAGTTGATCAACTGAGCTTCAATGTGTCTTACTGTGGCTTTCTTCTTAAGGCTGTTCAGTATTTTCCTGTGAAGGTTTCAGTTGAAAAGCTGCATGTTGTAGCTGTGCTGAAGTCAACCAAGTTTGTACATTCCTTATAATTATTAACTAGCACTGAAATATTCTGCCTACCTCATAGAAATGATGTAGATTTAGCCTGTTTTGTTTGACAGCAGCTGCTGTCGATCTGCATAGCCGATAGCTTTCTGTAGAGCATTGAATGCTCCCAGGAACCTTTCATTTATTTAAATGCAAAGTACTCAACTTTCTCTTTCTCTCTTCGAAGGCATCCCTGCTGCACCAGTTTCAGAGGCTTCAGAGTACGTTGGTCATAGCAGAACACAACAATGAGACTCTTACACCCATTACACTCAATGCAGTCACTGCAGCAAAACGTCTCGGAGGCGAAGTTTCCTGTTTGGTTGCTGGGACCAGTTGTGACAAGGTGGGAAATCCTGTTTTCATTTGAATGAAGTAATGAATGCGGTGGAATTCTATGTGGTAGCATCTCGGCTAGCTTGAAAAATAATCTGGTGAAAAGGAGCTGTGCCATGAATTGCTAATCTACAGGAAATGTGCTGCACTTGAGCTGCTTCTCTTCTGAAGTGGAAATGTGGGTATTGTTTTAATTTCACAAGGAGGAATATCAGAATAGGCTGTTATAAGTTAAGCAAGCATGTTTTATAAGACTGTAGGATAATTAACTCTTAAAACTGTTCTCCTGGAAAGTTTGAAAGGTAAATAATGCAGTGCTGGGAACCTGGGAGAAAAAGCCTTGCACTGTGCAAGGAGAGATCAGCAGAAATGAAAGGGCACGATGTCAGGTGAGGCTTCGGAGTGCCTGCCTTTCAGTGGTCACTGCTGGTAGCAAGAGTGTCTGCAATCGCTCTGTGGATAATCCAATCTGTATTAGCTGTTGTGTTGCCAGTCTGATTTTTGTGAAGTGCAAAATCTGGGGACAGCGTACCTGTAGTTTGTGAGAGGCACTCTTACCCCAGCATGGTGTTGTCTGACATGAACAAGAACAATAAGAACAACTGTGCCTAATTTTTTAATATCAGGCTATTGCTTAGGAACTGTGACTCTGAAATGGCCATATGCTGTCTTGTGCAGGAGGCACAGTCACAGCAGTTAATTCACAGGTGACTGAACAAACCTCACTCACTGTTGCAGACTGATTCTAAACTGAGACTCAGGTGCTCAAGGTTGAGACTGGAGACATACTTACCTGGATCAGTTAAAAATAAAACAACAGCAACAGCGAAAAGAAGCCTGATTTGTCTGTCTGTGGATTTCCTTCTTCTTTGATTATTTATTTATTTAGTGCTTGGATAATAGAACAGTGATTGGGAATGCTTTGTTTGGGGTTCGGTACCTGTTTGGCAATGTCCATCTTGCTGGGGGAAAAGTTCTTCACAGAAAATGAAATTGATTGTTTTTTTTAAGCTTTGTAAGAATCTGTGTCAGTAGGACAAAGGAGCCAGTTACTCAGATATCCCATAACAGCTGCTACAGAATATTTGTTTGTATCCTCTTGTTAAATTTTAAGGCTAAAGCTGATTGTCAGTACACTTAGTAAAACTGCATTTGTTCGGTGGTGATGCATGTGGCCTCCAGACATTGCTGTCAGTCTTTTCTCTGATCTGTAACAGCCCTTTCATCATTTAAACTTCACTTCTGCAAATACAAAGGACAAAATTGCATAAAGATAGCATTGGAAATAGACATCACATCAGTAGGCAGTCAGCTGCAGAGGACTGCTGCTGAAATTTGGGCAAAGATTGTAATAACATTGCTGTTCTTATTTGCTTGCTGTGCCTCTGCAAGTAGATACTGACTGGCGTAGAAAGAATATAGGATTGTTGTCTTTGATTATGTTAAAATGCTTAGTAATTATCTTGGAGTGAGACAATTATTGGCTGTTGTCATAAAACACGAGATGGCTGTGTAGTCTCTTGTACTGGGCAATCTGTGCTAGGTTTGCTTTTCTCTGTAGTTCTCTTATTGCCAGGGTTGGTTTGCAGTGCCCTGTAAGGCGCTGTGCTGTGTGTCAGAAGATCTGCAGCTCGTTCTGTAAGGTTTGTGCTAACTCCTACACGATGTGCTTTTGTGTTCCACTTTGAACTAATCTATAGAGGGCGAGCAGTTTAGGGACTAATTAGGAGCTATCTCCTGCTGTCTGTCTGTGATGCTTGCCACTGTGGAGCTCTGAGTTTGGCTGAAGCCTCCGTGTGCTCTTGTAATGCAAACTAATAACGATTGGTTTGTAACCACAGGTAGCACAAGAGCTCAGCAAGGTGCAGGGTGTTGCAAAAGTGCTTGTGGCTCAGCACGACCTATTCAAGGGATTTCTAGCAGGTGAGACTGGTTCTTATCTGTTGACCGAAGAAGCAGTACTGGGATTTGTGACTGATGATAAAATAGTTGTAAACTTGTATTTTTATTCTCAGAGGAGCTGACTCCCTTGGTTTTGGAAACTCAGAAACAATTTAAATACACTCACATTTGTGCTGGAGCATCTGCCTTTGGGAAGGTGAGTAAATCAAAATGCATCAAACAATTCTTGCAGGACAGAGAGGCATTTTTGTATGTAGCCTGAGAGAGGGTCTGCAGATCAGCCCTGGACAATTCAGAGTGTCCTAAAAACGTGACAGCAGTGCACTGAAGAAGCCAGTAGCTGCTTCTGAGTTCTCTTATGGGCTGATTTGAGCTAAGGGGCAGTGGAGAGGCTCATTAGTAGTAGCCAGCTAATTGTGCGTAAGGCAAAGTGTATAAAATGTGTAAGAACACAGAATACTTAAAGGTATCTGAAAGCCTTACGAAAATGCAGTAATTGGGGATGAAAACCTGGTGAACTGTTTTTGGTGACTTTTGTTTCACTTCCAGTAATTATTAGGATTGTTATGTAGTTTTCATGTTGAAATGAAAGCATGCAGACCTGTCGGCAGCAAACTCTTTTGGGGGAGGAATTGCATCTGTGATGTAGGTCTCTAGATTGAAATGTCTGTAAATATATATAGATAATACAGATCCAAGATGTTTTGTGAAGAAAATCGGATTTTTCAGAACTTTTTAACAAGTACATACTTAAAAATGTGCTTAGATGTATGGAGAGCCCCAGTGCTGACAGTCAGGTAATGTTGTGGTGCAGCTGAATTAGAGAAAAAAGGACATTTTGGAAATGTTGCCAACGTGGAATGAATGATGACATCAGCCTTCCTTCTATTTTTACTTCCAATCAATATCAATCCATATAATTGTAATTTTGCTAAGAGAAAAATCCTTACATGCCCCAAGTCTTAGTCATTCCATTTTTCATTTATTTGTGATCTGCAGTGCCTCGGTTAACATCTTGCTTTAAAGCTTATGCTCCCATCATCAAGTAGTGCTTTACTGGAGGAGTCAAGCAGTGACTGTTGTCATGGCTGTGAGTAAAGATGACCGAGCAGGGCTCTGTGGTGTGCCAGGTTAGCAGAGGGAGAGAGAGAGAGAGAGCAAGTTAAGCTCTTGCTGTCCTTAATTTCTCAATGCCTTCTGCTGCTCTTTTTATCCTTTTCCCCATGCCCTGTGGTTCTAAATTCTCTAGAGCTAATTTCAGAATAAGGGGATATGTATTCTAACAGTAATTTTTTAATAGTAAATTTTTGGCTTTTTTTGGGTAGGAGAGTAGTGTTTTCCTCCTGCTGTTGTCTCTGATAAATGGCTTCCAAGATACTTTTTGTTTTTCTTTTTTTTGTTGTAAGAACTCAGCCATCCATAATTGTCAATTTTCCAAGTAAATCGCATCTGTATTCAGTTCTAAATTATTGAAGCAAACGAGCCTCCTAATTTAAGATATTCAATTAGGGGGTTACTTACTGTAAGGATCATAACATTTCTAATGTTATTACAGTGCTGGGTTCTTATTTGGCTGCTAAAGCTGTGTAGTCCTGCAGTCGTGTTACAGTCGTATGTGCCTTCTTAGTCACAGACAGCAATCTGTGAGCTTAAGATCAGGTCAGCAAACGTTCCTTTATTTAATATGTGCATTTCACCTTATTTCCTTTGCATTTTCTCACGTGCAGTGTGCAGATACCAGCATTTACGTTGCTGACTTTTAATCTTTGACTTGTAGAATCTTATTCCCAGAGTGGCTGCGAAGCTGGATGTTGCTCCTGTTTCTGACATCATTGAGATCAAATCACCCAACACTTTTGTGAGAACTATCTATGCAGGTAAGCAGTCACAAAAGCTGTGTGGTGCTCATGCAATGAAGTACTTAATCCTGGTAACTTCTTACAGTCCAGCTGTTAGAACATTGGGATATTTTAGGAATGTTCACCTTACAGTCTAAATTGCTTAAAAATCCAACGTGGTGCTCTTTGAGAATCCGAGCACTGGTAACTTTGGTGCTGTAGGATTTTAGATGGAAACCAGCTCCTTCACTTTAATTAGTAGAATTCAATCTCCTTTATACATACTCAGTTTCTTTGTTTAATGTATTTCTGATTTGATTTTGTAAAACATAAAACATTAAGTTAATTGTCTGGCATTATTTAATATGACTTCCATTAGCTCTGATTTGAGCTGCCCACGGGGTTGTTTTCTCTAATTATGAAGACATTGCACTGATTATTTATAATATTTAATTGATGTAATTTGTAATTCTTTTATCAGCCTTTTTTTTTTTTTTTTTGTAACTCTGTTCTGCCCCTCTGATTTAATTCAGAGATGGACTCCTCAGCTTGTGTTTCTTAATGCTGCTGTACCACATACACCAAGGTGGTATTTTGAGTTACGCTATCAGCTTGTGGTTGCATGTTGTTTTTTAGCTGCTTTTCAGTAATTGGCAGTTTCAAGATGATTTTGTTTATTAACAAATTGTTTTGTTTATTAACAAATGGTGTTGTAGCACTTTTTGAGTTTAGTTTTTAGCCTGTGAAAGTAAGTACCTTATGCAGTCTGACAGAAGACACGATCAAAGTCATACCACGGTATAACAGATTATTATTATTACAGATCTCTCTTTATGCTTAAGAACAGTGGTTTCAAAGGTGTGTTTTCCCTTATGACATGTAAAAACACTTGAAAGGGGGTGATTTAAATGTGCTGACTGCCTTAAAAATGAAGCAATTTTTGTCGTACTGCAGAAACATGGAGTTCAAAGTCAATCAGAACACTGGAAATGAACAGCTTAAAGAGTGCCTGGGTTCCCAGTTCTCATCATCTAAAAGTTTTATTTTTGGCAGGAACTTTGTGTCATGTGTGTGATGTCTTCTGTAAAAACATGATCGTTCTTCACTAGGAAATGTTCTTTGCACCGTCCAGTGTGATGAAGCAGTTAAAGTGTTTTCTGTACGGGGGACATCTTTTGAGGCTGCACCAACGAGCGGCGGCAGCGCCAGTGTGGAGAAAGGTGAGCATTTGTCCTTGTGTTTTGTCACTTAGAGTTAGGTTCTATTTTGCGGGCTGATGTTTGTCAGAGCAGATTGGTAGTAATTTAATAATCTTAGCCTTTTCCTTTTAAATACTGGTACTTGGTTGTTGTTATCTGGTAGGAGAAGGTACGAGTTGTCATTTCACTGCTTTCTCTTCACCCAGAAGCAGATTCTGCACAGATTATTTGTGCCTGTTTCACTCGCTGCCTGAACCTCATCCGTAGCAATCTTGGAGCTATTCCTTATTTGAAGTTAGAGCTGTTTGAATAGCTGGGTTGGTTTTTCACAGCACAAGTTGCTGGCAGTCCACAGCTTTGGTTTGATTGGTCGTATTTCAGTTGAGATAGTTCATTATGGCACTGAGTAAATTAGTGGTAGTTGAAATTGGATTGAGAACACTCCATCATCGTTTTATATCAGTTTCAGTGGTTATTTTAATGAAATCTCTGTAGCTTGGATTGTAGAGAAATCCATGGTCTCAGGGTCATGAAATTGTTTAGGTTGGAAAGGACCTCTGGAGACCCCTCTGCTCAGGCAGGGACACTGGAGCAGGTTCTCCAGGGCTGCGTCCAACTGGGTTTTGAATACCTCCACAGGTGGAAACTGGCAGCAGCTGCTCTGGGCTTCCCGTCCCAGGGTTTGATCACCTCTGCTGTTTTTCACTGTGGGCCCTTTTATGACAGTGCTGTAAGTCCAGCAGAAGCAATCTTTAGTAACGTGCTGTGTGTCCCATACATCACCTTTGCAGTCCTCACCTCTGTCTGGGAGCCATGAGTGCATTGCCAGAACCATCGTGTATTTCCTGACTCGCGCAGAAGTTGGTAGACATGCTGCTTGAGATCTGACATTGGCATATTGTCCTGTCTTTGCACTGTTTGCAAGGGCTGCTCCAAAAGTAATGCCTTCTGTTTGATCTACAACATCAGTGGTGGATTTTGGTGGTATGGCAGCAGAGGTTGTACCTTCCCACCAGTAAACAAAACTCCATTATGTTTTATTGCCATGTGGCAGCTGGCAGCAGAGGGGCACTCTGACAGAGCAGCTCCTGACACGGAAGTGCGTGTGAAGCACACGGGTGGAACTGAATTCATCCATGTGGAAAAAGTGGCATCCGTTGATGCTTGCTGAATGGTTTTGGAGACCAGACAGTGGATGTGAACACGGTGAGGAGTGGGTGGTGTGTTCCAGCAGTGGCAACAGTGACAGTGGGTTGCCTCTGCTGGTGCAGGTTTTCACGAGTGCTGCATAAAGGCTCTTGTTCAGTGCTGGTGAAAGGGCACAACTAGTGGTGCTGAGAATGGTGTGTTGAGAAAAAGACCTTTGTAGCTGACAATTTGCTCTATCAAATAATGTTATCATGCTCTTTGTAGCTGCTGTAGTTTTCAAGGAAATAAACAAGAGGCATTACTTTTGGAGCAACCTATGTAGTTGGCTTGATTGCCTGTCTTTTAAAAGATCCATGGTTATTATGTTGGGTTGATATCAGTATGTTGCTTATAGAGCAGACCTTCATTTAGTGCAATCTGATGTACATAAAACTTCATAAAACAGTCTTGCACTGCAGGATAAATAACCACAGGTAATAAGGGAGGCTTGTAGCTCAGAATCACAGAGCAACTATTCATGGTAATTAAAATCTTGTGGTAGAGCTGGCTCCACAGTGAACTTGTGCATGAAGTTTAAGCTGAAATTTGGAAGGTTGAAAGCCCGTGCTTTATCCTTTTTCTTGTGGATCCTTTTTCAACCTGCTTAAAACAGTGACCCCTCCAGCACCTGTTGGTCTGTCGGAATGGATTGAGCAGAAGCTGTCAAAAAGTGACCGGCCTGAGCTTACGAGTGCAAGAGTGGTTGTATCAGGTGGTAAGTAGTGTGCTTTTGTGCATTTCTGTGATGCTACAGCTCAACTAAATGATAGGACAGGGGGGAATGGTTTTAAACTGAGACAGAGGTTTAGGTTGGATGTTAGAAAGAAGTTTTTCACCCAGAGGGTGGTGAGGCACTGGAACAGGCTGCCCAAGGAGGCTGTGGATGCCCCATCATTCAAGGCCAGGCTGGATGTGGCTCTGGGCAGCCTGGGCTGCTGGTTGGTGACCTGCACACAGCAGGGAGTTGGAACCAAATGAGCATCATGGCCCTGTTCAATCCAGGCCATCCTGTGATTCTGTAGGAAAACACTGACTTGGTACATTTTTTGAAATAGGACATAGGAGACAGTGGGGAGACACCCAACATCTGTATATCATGAAGTGGCAGAACAGAGAAGGTTGCTATATGCTAATAGGCATTTTAAGATCACTGCCATAATTGGTGAGCCTCTCTAAAATGACAGAGTGAAGTGTTTTTAGATGAAAGTTTGTTTGGTTTAAAATTAGTCCTAATCATTGCAGGCAGCCTAAACATGATATAATGATTTCAATAATTTTAAAAGCTGTTATTTTTGTATTCTGCTCTTCGGGTTTAAATCTTTTGTTGGTTTGGTCTTTGTGCACACAGAAAGATAATAAAACCCTTTAGTTATCCTACTGCAGAGTTTTATGCCTAAAGCCAGCAGGGGGAGCACGAAAATCCTGTCTTCCTAACTTCAAAGGAGGAGCTTGATGATGCTAATAAACAGTGGGAGTGGTGTTGGTTTGTATGTGTAATATTTATTACAAAGAAAAAAGCTAAATCTCACAATGTCAAATACTATTTAATTCTGTATCCAAAGATAACCAGTGCAAACGTATCCTTGTGCCTTTGCAAGTGTAGATAATAAAACAGAACGTTTATATGTGTAACAAAAAATCCTAGAGCATATTGTACTCTTTCTTCATCTTATTTTTGTTTTTTAACTTTTAAGGAAGAGGCTTAAAGAGTGGTGAAAATTTTAAGTTGCTCTATGATCTTGCGGACCAATTGAATGCTGCAGGTAAAGTCACCCCCCCTTTTTAGATACTGCTTTACAGAATCACAGTTCTTATGGTTTGAGTGGTTCTTCTTACCATGTTTTTCAGCAAAATATTCTACCAAATGCTGGGGGGGAGGAGGAGCTGCTTGTGCTAACGTTTTAACTGCATTAGCCTTAGATTTTACACTTAGTAGTCAGTAGAATTTTTGCATGAGTGGCTTTGTTTTCTAATTGTTGGCTTCACTAATTAAATATCTGTGTGGTGCTCTTGAGTGCGGTTGGATATTTTGCTTTACTGGCTCTGACTTCTGAACTTGGTGTAAGCGATATAAGATGGCACATGTGTTCTATTAAAACTTGCTGGAACGTTATGGGAAGGCATATATGGGAAAATCCTCTTTTGACAAAGCAACAAGAAAAAATAATGGAAATATGCCAGACTGAAATCCTCACTTTTAAATATATGGCCTTTTGGTGCTGGGAGTAAGGATTTCCTGTTGCTTATGAAGTGCATTAGCATTTAGTATTTGGAAGTTTCTGCCAGTGTTATGGAGAGGGATTACTTTAAGAGCTCTTTAGAGGGAACTTTCTAAATATGTGCTCTTAATGTGTGGGACTCTTCAGTAAAATACATGTGCTTTTATGGTGGTATGAATTTGAGCTGCTAATATTTTAAAAGAAAACATTGGAAATATTTTCTTTCAACTAGTTGGAGCTTCCCGTGCAGCTGTAGATGCTGGCTTTGTTCCTAATGACATGCAAGTTGGACAGACGGGTAAAATAGTAGCACCAGTAAGTATGGAAATAGAGCTCATAAGAGAACTTGCTAGCATACGTGTTCCTTCAGAGCAATGATCTAAGTCTCTGCTGAACCTAACAGGAAAACCTTTGTGTGTCTGGCATGGTACTGTCACATAAACGTGCATTTGCAAGAACTACAGCAGCAAGCTGTGATGTAAATCTCCACTTTAGTCCAATTAGAAGTTTCCTGCAGACAGTTTGGATAGAGGTTTTGCAAGCTGGATTTCCTTTATAGTGGCCTATGTTAATCTTTTTTTTTTTTTAGTTTTCTGACTGCCATCATTGACGAGTCAAAAGGTGTCGTTGCCTGCATAAACTTTAAATTGTGTTGATGTGTGGTGTGGTCTCTAGAAAACCTTTTTACAGATAGTTGAGATGATGGCTTCATTTTTAAGTTTTGATAACTATAACTTCGTTGTTGCATTACATTCTAAGCCAAATTTTTGTACGAGATAAAAACACAAGGCACTTGAGACAGAAGTAGTCTGCAAGTTGGTGCTGTGTAGTGGGATCAGGAGAAGCACACTCCAGTAAGTGTCTTAATTTTGGAGAACAACCTGCAGGAATTCTTTCCTGCTGTGCATCCAGAGATCATGGGGGAGTGGTTTCTGTCCCCATGTGTCTTTCTGGGTCAGTGGAGGGAAGAGGTGGCTTGCTCTCCTGTAGACCTCTGAGACGCTCTTTTTGGTCCTTACGAGCCAGTGAAATGTGGAGCAATTGATATACAGATAAAACACACTTGAGCATTTGTAAAAAAGGAAGGTGCAAATGGAGCTCATCTCAGTGTGTGATAGAATGTATGCTAGCATGTCCTGAAATGAAATGTTGAGTGGCCAGCAACGTGGGCCCATGTGGATATCAGATGCATGTGCTGAGCTGTATAACCTAGTAAGCGTGCAGTCCTTCAGTAAGCAGTTCTCTCTCGAGTGTTTATGGCAGCAGAAGGCTCAAATGGGCAACTTCTTACTTGTTCGTGGTTTAGTCAAACCAAACTATGGCTGTTTTTCCACTAATACATCAGACAAGATAGAGCTGCACTTGGAAATCTTGAAGACAGGAATTTGGGCTTCCTGCAGTCTGTTGTCAGTTCTTCCTGCCGGGTTTTCTCGGTCAGGGTACTTTGTGCCCCTCAGCTCTTCTGTCTTGAAATGTGAATGGGAATTCTTGTTTTTTTAGTTAAGTCCTGGTCAAGGTGGAGTCCTGCTGATGATAGCCCTGCTGAAGGGCTAAATGGAGACATTTCTAGGCACGCTAGTTGATAAAGCTGTGAATCTGTATGATATCCAACTTAAAAAAAAAACCAAGGCAAACAGGATCTGAAGAACAGATGTAAAACATAAGAGTTAAGGAAAGCATAAAAGTTTGTGGTTTGTTTGCATTTTGTGTTCTTCCAAAATCTTGGTAGCTGTGATATCAGTGTCTGTGGAGCTGTACCTGTTACATATACAACCCTAACTCTTCTTTCTGATGTTTTTCTTTGGGTACTGAATGTAGAATCCATAGCATCACAGAATCACCAAGGTTGGAACCCACAGGATCACCCAGTCCAACCATCCACCCATCACCAATAGCTCTCACTAAACCATATCCCTCAACACAATGTCCAAACATTCCTAGAACACCTCATTTCAGGCTGTTATCCTCTGGACTTCGGAAGGATCTTCTGCTCTCTGGAAGTGCATCCTTCTAGTTTATTCTCTTCGGAGTTCTAAGTCAGCATCCTTTCAGAGTTCAGCTCTCTGTCTGCTTCAGCTTTCCTTACAGGTATCCTAGCTGGTAGTGAGGAAGATGTGGCCACACCATTCTTTCACAATTATTAGAGTAAAGGTGTCCATCCAGGGTTAGCCATTGGTGGCCACGGCTGGAAGGCCTGACCTTCACTGTCCCAGGTTTTTGGCAAGGAGGGTGCAGTGCAGAGGAGCCACCCAGCCATCCATTCAGTTAGGTGTTCACTGGCAGTTGTTACTTTCAAAGCTGAGCACAGCATACTGTTCCAGCAAGGGGTAACAAGAAACTGAGATGGAAAAACTGGGAAGGCAGGAGTGAGGAAATGTGTGATGTAGTAATAATTGACACCAGATGAGATGGCTAGAAGTGTGGTGTGATGGCACAGAATGCAGCTGCCCTTGGTCATTGCATGTGCTGAGAAATCTCAGGTGAGGGAGGCACATGGGAATTCAGCATCAGTGCAGTTCTGGTGTGATCACTGGGAGAAAACTTGCTGACCTCCTCAGCTTCGGTGCTTGTGCTTCAGCTTCATACCAGAGGCTCTCTTTGGTCATTATAAATTGCAGGAGCATCGAAAGGGTGGTAGATTTACAACTTAGTGTGTTAGGTAGAAAATGTTGGAGTCGGATGGGATGGAAAAGAAAAGCAGAATAACAAGGAGCACTTCCTGGCAGTGAGATGCATGAAGCCTCAGAGTGGTCTTCCGCAGAGCAGTGGAAATCCTCATGTTCCACTTCTCCTACAAAGTGATGGGATGCTTTCTGAGCTCATGTATGCTCCAGCATCTTAGAAGGCAGTCCTCTTCTGTACAAGGAGTGGCTTTTTAGCAGTTGGTGGTCATCATCTTGCTTTGGGAGTAGCTGGAAAGGGGAAGGCAGCATCACATCATTGACATTATTGTATTTCTTACTTTTTGGTTGCTTCGCCACCAAATACGAAGTAGTTCACCTAGCCAGGTTCTGTGGCTTTTTTATTGCTTGGTATGATGTTATTGCTTAGTAGGTAGCTACAGACTGCTTGCACTGAAACTGAAGCAAGGTGTGTTTTATTCCAGTATTTAACTTCATTTTTGGTCTCTGACTCCTACATAAAGTCTCTAACAAAAGAGTGAACAAATTCATTCTTAGAGAATGTGAGAAGTGTAACCCTTGTCATCTTGCTGGTACTGACTTCTCCTTGCTTTGGTGACAGGATGTTCAGTACTTCCTAATTTGGTGCACACAGAAGTGTCTGCACTCAGATGGGTGATACGTTGTTTAGTTTCGTGCACCTTCAGCTAGCTGCTTTGTGGGGCTGTGCTGTTTGTGCATTACATTTGTGTGTCATGAATGGTCCAGCAGGTGCACATTTGGTTGTGTAATGGCTGGGCTGTGGGTAGTGAGCAGGTGGAAAGAACATGGGGAACACTGACAGGGCTTGGGAAGTTGTAGGAATATCTCATAATTCACTAGTGTTGAAAAGTAGCTTTATAGTGGCAAACTTTGTATGCAGCTGGGACTGAATTTACAGACTACCTTTCTCTGACTTGCTAAAAAGCCAGGGATTGACAGCCCCTTTCATCCTGCATTATCCAGTGTAGCTTTTAACTCCAAGGAAACTATGTTCACAAATTGATGCACTGCTCCTTGGGGGTTGGTGCAGAAACATTAAATTGTACTAAAATATTCATATGTGAGTGCATTTAGCTGAAAGCAATTGATGTGCTTTTCCCTCGAGAGCAAGAAGAAATTGCTGTATGGCCCTGCACTCCAGCAGACACCCTAACCACGCTTAAGAGTAATTACACAGCTTGTCTCATCAGAGGCACTCGCAGTGAAGAGGAGGCTGTAGCTGGGGTGCAGCTTAGTAACGTGCCCCTCTTGGATGGGGCATATTGGACAGCATTGCTGCTGAGTGCAGGATGTTGTTTGATATACAGTGTGATATCAGAACCTGTGTCGAGCTAGCTCATGTTTTATTCCAGTTACATATGGAATTACAAAAAAATAACTGTGTGTGATTACATAAAATTACATTTTATTTAGTTAATAGCTTGCAGTTGGAAGGAATCTCATGTATGAAGCAGTTCTTATAATGGCTTTTAATTCCTTTGTGCTTTCACTCTGGCAAAGGAAATAAAACGAGCTGCCTTTAGAAAGAGGACGTGTGCCTAAGGAGTTTATCAGAGTGGCTTGTTTAGATGCATGCCACTGATAGGGTGATCAGCTGATGCACACTGAAGGTTTTCAGTGTAATTCAAAGGTTGACATAAAAAGCTATAGCAGCTGACAGCCTTCTTGCAGTGTAACCACCTCCTCTTGTGCTGCACCTGTGAAAGATGTGCCGTTGTACCCTACAGCATTCAAAATCACTGTAGGTTGCAGCTAAAAACTGTGCTTGTCATTCTCCTACACAAATGTAGCCCCAGCAGCCTTGAGGCAGCCTAAGGTGTTCTAAAATATTCGCATCAGTAAAAGTGAAGTAATGTTATATGCCACCAGAAATGGGAATTAGGATGGCTAAATGGTTAACATGCGCTGCCTCTCCCTATAAGATATGCTGGGGTCATGTTTGTGAGAGTTTGTGGAAGGAAAAAAAGCCACAGAACTATGCTACATTAATAATTAACATGGCAAGTGAGAGAAGTTGGGTTCTCGATTTGGAATCTTGCCTTTGATATAGGCGAGACCTTTCAGGCCCTGCCTCCCAGTAGTGCCCTGTGGGATGCTGTGTGGCAAGACACAGCCAAGCACTGCTGCTGTGTGCAGGTTTGCTGGCAGAATCAGCTTTGTCTGGAGCCCTTGTGAGAAGCTTATGGGTATGTTGTGTGCTGATGCTCCTGCCTTCTCGCTGTCTTGGTACCGACACAAGAAGCATTTTCTGCAGCAGCATGTATTTAGTGTAGGTATTTCCTGGTTGTACTTCTCACCTTCTGCTCCATATGTTTCTGAGCTGTTTGGTCTGTTCAGCTTCCTGGCTGCTTGCTTTCCACTTCTGCACAGTGAAAGATTCGTGGTGTGACACTGACATATTTGCAGTAAATACTTTCTATGTGACATTAAGTTACTGTGAGGGAAGACAGTTCTCTCTGATGGCGCGTCCCTGTCCCACCAAAACTATGCTCTCTCCCTTTTTTCCTCTTAAATTACTATTAAAGCTTCATCTCAGACAGTGCAGGGAGCCCTTTGGTGCAGTGTCTGCTTGCTGTGTTGTTTTCCTTGTGCAGCACAGCGCTGGCAGCAGTGAGAGCCTGCCCATGTGCAAGCACCAGGGAGTGCAGAAATGCCTCTCTACTCACTAGACTTTGGCATAAGTGCCTCTAATTGCTGGCTGCAGATCAATCACCTGACAGCAGTAATTAGAGCAGCTTCCAGGGCTCTGAAGAGCAGGAATGTGAAGCTGGTGTAAAGCCATCTTTGTTGGTACCTGAGAGATGTGATGCAGAGCTTTGTTCCCTGGCCTTTGTGCCCATAGATGAGCCCTGAAGAGCTGAGATCTTCTCCCAGACCTCGCGTGCCCTCTGCTGCAATGGCCACGTGCTGCTAATTGGAGTCGTGCTGCTAATTGGAGTCCCGCTGCCCTGTGGCTGCTCTGTGGCACTGCTCTGCTCTCCACCTTCCTCCCTCTTTTTCTTTATAGTGCCTGGGACAGTGAGCACTACCACAGCAGAAGTGCTAGGACTCAGCTAAAGCCAGGATGGAGGTCAGTGATTTCAGGGGAAGCATCAAAACAAGGGGGTTACCCTGAGAGGGACTGAAAGAGATCAGAATTTTGGAGGCCTTCTTGACCTCTCCATATGTGTAATTGATTTTTTTCCTTGGAGGGATCTGAGCAGTCTCAAATCCTTATCATTCAGGTCTCGTATTTCCTTTTAATAAATAGTAGAATAAATTTAAATCAAGACTTAAGCCATCACATCTGTTGTGCAGCCTTGGCCTGCTGCTGGGCAGCATACTGTCACGTGTTACCTGTGTGAAAGCATTACTGAGGTGTTCCACCATTGGTGCTGCAAGGCATTGAGCAACCAGTTGTTTTGGCTGGAGAGCCAAGAGCTCAATAACCTAGAAGGGCATGGCTTAGAGGCAGAATGAAGGCTTTTTAGATGAGCCCGGTAATTTAGAAATGTCTTTTTTAATGAAGCATCCTTGTCTTTCCCAGATACTTTAGTCAAATATATACATAAGCATCTGGCTCCTGGTTAGCTGGATTCCTTCCAAGGACTGAACCTTATGATGTTAAACAGAGTGATAAGAGTATCTGGCAGTCTGGATGACTGGCATTTAATGAATTGCTGTAAAAAAAAAATCATATTACAGTAATGTGCTTTTGAAAAGAGCTTGTATTAAAGACTATATGATGTTACAGCGATTTCTTCTGTAACATCTGTTCTTTTATTTGGTATAATTAAAATATTGCATTCTTACCATGAGGTCTTACATGTACATATTGTATTACAGCGCAGCTGTGGGTAAAGTGAGTTGACCTCCAGTGCCAATCTGTGCACTGAGCAGCAGTGGAGACTCAGAAATTGTTGAGTCTCTTCAGCAGCTGTGCTGCTTTTGTGCAGATACACAGACCAGATTCTGTGCTTCAGTTTCAAAGCAAACTGTTCTGATAGGAGATATTTTGTTCCTGCTGTCTGCCTCCCACTTAGCTGTTACGGGAGATCTCCTACGCTTTTCTGCACAAGCTGTTCTTCATTTGCCTGTCCCTGTTTAAAGGCCAATGCAGTAGGTGGAGTCCGTAGCTGTAGATGTGTCAGAAAGCAGCCATCTCTTCACTGCAGTTGATACGACGGCTATCAGCCTGTATGGAAAATGCAGGCTGCCTTCTCTCTGTGTTGGAACACCTTCATTGGAGCCACTTCTGGAGTTGGTGACTGTCCTACAGCTGTGCTTCAGTCTGCTGTGTTAAAAGCTGCTTAACTGTAATGCACATCCTAAGCTGTGGAAGAACAAGGTCTCTTTTCTCCCATTTACTCCCTCCGACTCCAAAGATCCTTCTTGGTTTAGGTCTGTGTGTTCTTACATGCCAGCTAGCTGTGGTAGTGATGAAAAACAAATTCTCTTAAATGTTTTGTGTCTTCATAAGGACATATAAGTACAGTGTTTGAATTGGTTTGACAGAGGATCCCCAGCTGGTTTTGTGTGCTCCAGTTGCCTCTTCTGTGACTGAGAGTGTGAGAAGTAATTCCTTTGTTTTTCTTCTGTAATGTCGGGCAGCTGAGAGCTGCAGGTCTGCGTGCTGCTTGGACTTGGGCTGCTGGAAGAGCTGTCACTGAGCTGAACATATGCATGGTTTTGGGTAGGCTACAGACAGGGTCATTTTCAGCCTAAGGGGAAAAACTACTTTCCTGCCGTGAATTAACGTCAATGCAGAGTGACTTGCTTATAAATCTTCACCTGTTTTAAGTTTCTTAGGAGATGCCAGGTTGGCAGTCGCAGAGCATAGCGATTTCCTGCCCGTGTGGTGCCTACCTGAGCACTGCTTTGCTCATCCACCACAGGAGCTGGTAGTGAATGGGGAGGGGGAAAAGCTTTAAGGCATGCATATGTTGGGATTTGGACTGAGCAATAGAAACTGTCACTGCAAGTGGAAATTGTGGTAGCCCACTGCTGTGCCTGAAATGCTTTATCCTGCCGTACGGGAAACTTTCTGAAGGTGTGGGCACCTGAATCCCAGCTTTGTGTGTTCTGTCTTACCCTAACAGAGTCACAGAGGCCTCAGACCAGGAAATCTTGTCTTTCTCTTCAGGAACTGCATTATCCATTTGTAGGTTATGTTGCTCAGTACTTGTTTTGGCCGTCCCTGGGGTCATGAGTAGCACTGATTGCCCTCTGCTCTGTCTGAACAGTGCCCTACATTTGATGCAGATCTCTGTTTTTTCCAATCTGTCTTTGCCGGGTGCTCCTTTGGGATTCTCCTTTTACAACTGCATCCCAAAGTGGGAAAGGGAACCAATCACGAGCCACATTTAATATAGACAACCACTGTCATATAAAAACTGCTGTGTGTAATTGATCCCGAGCAAGGCTTGTGAGAGCTGACCAAAACTGTCGTGAATTCTGACAATGTGTCCTTTTTGTTTTCTTTTAGGAACTCTATATTGCTGTGGGAATATCTGGAGCAATCCAACACTTGGCCGGGATGAAGGACAGCAAGGTATGTCAGAGCTGGGGGTGCTGGAAGAATTGTTGAGGAGGGAGGGGAGTTTATTCTTTGCTTCTCATCAGCACTTCAATAACTTCCCACTTTGTGCAGTGTTACGATTGTCATTTTGTCTGCTGCCTTAAAACGTGCCTCACTACGCCTTGCAAGTGAGGTTGTGGTGGAGCACCTCATGCAATACAGTGCTGCACTAAGCCTGAAGTATTAAGCAAGAGCTAATTCAGTTATGTATTAAAAGAACAGCAACAGAAGACACGCACACATGCCTGAATTCTATACAATAGATGCATTTGCATTTATTTCAGAGTATGACATATTAATTCATGCATAACAATGTGTAATTTGAATTATGAACTTACTATTCCATAAAGTAAAAGATGTCTCTGACATTCCTGCGTTTAGCTATTCAAATGGAAACCTATTGTAAAATGGCAGTCAAACTTTAAAAGGCTTAACTCATTAGTTGCTGAAGCAAATAATCTGCAACTGGCATTGCCAATTTGGTCCACAGTGCAATGTTTGGAAAGAGCAGCAGAATTACTTGCTGCATCCCGCTGTCAGGTGCCAAACACTTCAAACCAAACCAAATAAAATGAAAGCTGTTCTGCTTCCTGCTGAGGAATTGTAGAGAAAAAGGATTGATTTAGTTTTCTACTTCCAGGGAACTTTTCAGAAGCTTTGCTGGGTTGGGGTTTGTCTTCTGGCAGCCAGGAATTGGAGTAGCTTGTAAAACCATCACAAGCAGAGGAAAAAATGTGCAAAACCTTGCAGACAGATCCCTAAAATCCTCCTTTGTGTCTGAGCAGTGATAGACTGCAATGGGCTCACATGGCTGTATGTATCCTCACAAGCCAACCTGCTTGGTAGGGTGATCCATGCTGCTTCTTAGTTCTTTTTGCACATATCACTCAAATCAAATGTTTCTGGGGGGAAATGTGGGCGCAGCAGCCTTTTTTGGGTCTCACCCTTCTAAAACGGACGCAAGCTATTCTCACTTGTCTCCACAGTTGAGGAAGAAGCAGTCAAAATTGAGGATCATTGATGGGTGGAGCTGAAGGTCACTGCTGAGGAGAGAGATAAAGGTGTGGATAGTGGCACAGCAGCAGTGTGCTCTCAGTGGCCTTAGTGGAAATGGGGTCAGTGCAGCCTCCCCTGCTTGTTGCTGTGCAGCAACAGGGAGACGTGGGGGCAGAGCAGGAGCAGTGCTGGCGCAGTGCTGTCACAGCCATCTCTGCAAAGCCTCTGCTCTTTTTGCCTTTCCAGCACCATGTTGGATATTTTGAGATGTTTTTATATCAAATAAGATAAAGTTTGTCAGTAGGAGAAGCGTACTTAGGTTTATTTTTACCCAGAGATAACACTTTTTCTGTAGTGAACAAATAGGTGCATTCTGAACTTCAGTTTTGCGTCCATGTGTTTGAAGTGAATCCTGCTTTCCTTTCAGCCTGAGTGCAGGTGTTGGAGTTGCTGAAAAGTTCCCATTTACACAAACAAAAGAGTTTTGCAGCCATGGAAACGGCCCCTGGATTTCCCCCATCCTCCCATTGGCACTGTGCACTCTCTGGCACTGTGAACTCGCACACTTCAGGATATGCTTTCCAAACTGCTTTCTACTGAGCGAAGCGAGTCATTTTTGTCCTCTTACAGCAAGGTAGAAAATGCAGCTTTGGAGGAGGCCTGGCGAGTCCTTGTTGCTTTCCATACTTATTTCAGTTCCCTCCTGAGGTAGTTACAGCATCTTTTCCTTCTAAGAGATGTAACTTACGAAAGTTTGCTGTAATCGTTGCAAGCCAAGTGGTGCTTTTTCTTCTTAGGGTGGGAAGTCTGACTGTGGAGATGAGGTAGAGAACCAGATCTTACAAAAAGTCCCTTCAGCGAGAGGAGGGCTGGGGCTGCCAACTGCAGCTGAAGGCAGATGCTTTTGGAGCAGCCGTTGCTACTTTGTTTTGGTCAGTGTGACGCAGCATTTCCCATTGAGGCTTCCAGGGCTGTGGGCCTGAAGGAGGAAGCGCAGGGAGCTGAGTCTGCAGGGTTGGTGGCTGGAGGCGTGCTGTGTGGTGAAGTGACAAGCTCTGAGAGTTGCAGTTCCTGCAAGCCTCTCCCTTGTGCCTGGTGAGGTGGTGAGGGCAGGGGCTTGGGGCCTGCTGCCTGCCCACAGCAGGGCTCGCTGGGGGTGTACAGCTGTGTTCTCTGCTGTCTCAGCCAGTCTGTCCTGCCCGCTGCAGCCATGGCTACGAGTCCTCGTGTCCCTGGGAGCAGCTCTGGGAACACGTGGTGGGGCCTCAGAGCACGGCTTCGGTCTTTTGAATTAATATCCTATCACAAGCTGGGTTTTGCTTCCTGCGCTGTAGAGCTGTTAGCAAAGGCTTGCATTGGCAAAAGGAGTAACAGAAATAGAAAATGAGAAGCTTTGGGAGGAATGTGTTGGGCAGGTATGCTGGCATCTTGCAGCTCTGTGCTCGTGAGCTGGCGAGAAGGCAGCAGCAGGGCGCTGCTGTAGGTACTGCCTTGTTGTGTAAACCATGTGGTTCTCCTTTACAGCAAGTCATGGGATACAAACGAGCTGTGAAGGAAGGAGGTTTCTGTAGGCTTAAAAACACAGGATTTGTGAACTTTTATCTTTGAGTTATTGCCACCGATGTATGCTACTGAGCCATTAATTTTGTCAGACAAGTACAGTCGGTGGAGGGAGCAAAGCATATGAGAACCATGAGCTGTGGCTACCTGGGAATGGCAGGTAGGTGTGCAGAGGAAATGTTGGTTAGAGCTGTCCTGGGGAATCTGTTGCCTCAAATCTGAGTGGAAGCAGTGAGGTGGAGAGGCAGTGGCAGAGTGCTGTGGTTTAGGCCAACGGCTGTTAGGATCGTTTTATGAGCTGTTGCTTATTTAGAATTTTTTTCCTCCTTCATGGAGTCTCCCCCATCCTGTTGGAGATTCAGCTTTGGACACCCACACTTATTTTGCTGGAAACTGTCACAGACATTTACGATGGGATTTACCTTTTATGAAAGAGTTCAAATTGGGGAAGGCGTTTTCTGGACTGCTGTGTTGGGATTTAGCTCACGTGCATTTTTCTGCTGTGTGACACAATAAATTACACGGCCTGCTGTAAGTACAGGGGCCTTTGGCACAGCTCTGTTACACTTATTTTAAGTAAGTGCTACCTCTGATTTATTTCTGTAATGTTATGGCTTAAATATTGCAGGTAATCTGTTGTAGTTTTTTTTCCAGACTTTACTTTCTTCAAGGGGGGAGCGCCCCTGTGTAAGGGATTTTTCAGGAATAGACTTTGCTGTTATTAGGACTGCATGGCTCAGTGTTGGAGGCTGTGATGGTGGGCTTTTAGGGGCGGTGGGAGGCTGGGTTTGGTTTTGAAAGCAAAGCAGAATGGGAAGATTTAACAGATGTTAAATGCTGCAATCTGTAACCTGCTGCCCCCAAAGTCGGGAGCAAAGTCAGCCTGTTTCCTCAGGTCAGGCCTGTCTCTGCCATCTGCTCCTCCATGATGATCACAGTGTTCACGCGGTGCTTTCCTCTTGTTGCAGACCATTGTTGCTATTAACAAGGATCCAGAAGCTCCAATTTTCCAAGTAGCAGACTACGGACTGGTGGCAGACTTATTTCAGGTGAGGCTCAGCTTTGGGCACGGGAGAGAGAAAGCTGTCCGATGTAATGACAGTTTAGATAGGTAATAGAATCTAATGGGGTGTTTGCTTTGGACTGTTTTGCACAAGAGTTGGCTTTACAACTTCATTATTTTCAGTCTCCAAACTCAGTCCCCACAAATGTTGAGAAGGGCGGGTTTCACATCAGCCTGCCTGTGTTCACATTTCCTGAATGTGAGCCATTCTGAGAACTACACCTAGGTTCTGAAATGAGTTTTTGAGCTTCATAAAGTCTGAACGTACAGAGCTGGTGTTGTCTTCAGACTGCAGCAGTTCTCCTCCTGCGTGGGCTTGCTGCTTTACTGACACTGAGGCACAGCTGGCAGTTTTCTGGCAAACTCACACGTGGGCTGGGCTGCCCACACGGCCGTACATGGCAGCGGTGTGAGCTCACAGCAGCTCCATGGAGGCGTGGGCAGAAGCTGTGCCAGCACTTAATGCCATTCCTGAACTAATGCCCGTTGGCTCAGTGGTGAGCACGGGCCTTTGCGTTAGGCAGAGACCAAGTCACATTCTGAAGAAACACCATGTAGGCAATTTCCTTAATAAATTTTGTACGAATGCATTATTTCCACCTAATGGAAATGTAGCGCTCTTAAATAATTAAGAGGCTCTATTCAGCAGGAGGGAAGTGGGGAGTGCTGTGAGCTGGGGTGACCCACGGCCCCTGGAGTTGTGGGCAGGGGGCTGGCGTGTGATGGGGGGGTTGAGACCTCATGTAAAAAACTTTGTGGGGGTGGAGGGGAAGCGGGTGCAACCCTGGCACTGGTGTTTGCAGGCAGTGCCTGAGATGACGGAGCTCCTGAAGAAGAAGTGAGCAACTGCAGTGGCTGCAGTTGGGCTGGGCAGTAATGACAGCACAACCCCAAGATTACTGGAGAGTACTGGTGTCAGTGTATGTTTGTGCTGGGCAGTGCTTGGTATGGGCGGAGGTGGGGACAGAGGTGGTATGAAGGAATAACAGTAATAAAGGATTGGAGTGGAAAGAGAGGTAACTGGGGGTTGTTGGTTTTTTTTCTTTCTTTTTGTGGGTGGAAGAGGCTGGGACACCAAGTGGTGGGGGTAGAGGGGAGGGTGAAGAAAAGCTATCAGGAAAAGGAGTCAAGGCAGGAAAGGTAAGGGAAGGGAGAGGTTTAAGGTAAGGAAGGAGGGAAGAGGGATGGAAGACAGGAACAAGGGAGGCAGCAGTGGTTGTCAGTGTTTATTCCCAACCTTACTCCCCTCCCAGCTGTGCTCAGCCCCTGGGCAGAGGACATGGGGAGCTGGGAGGCCAGGCTTGGAGCAGGCTGGCCAGCAGCTCTGTCTGTCCCTGGACGCTGTAGCTTGGTGCTGGTGGAAGGTCTGTGCACCTTGGGGCTAACCCCAGGCTGGTGGCAGGACACGGCCGTAAGTCTTTTCTCCCTGCCACTGGGCACTGTGGGTCCAATCCTGGTGGCTGAAGACAGGGGGAAGATCTCCTGTGCCTCAGAGGACACCATCGGTACCGGCTGGCCCAGAGCTGGTGGCAGGGCAGGCCTGCTGGGGGCCAGTTGGGTGGTGCGAGTCCAGCCCTGGGCTGGTGGCCATTGCAGGAGGTGCCATAGGTGGCCTCCGGTGCTGCTGCTTTGCCCGTTGACCCAGCACAGTGAGCGTGCCCCACAGCTCCTTAGGCCTCAGGTACCTTGCTCAGCCGTGGCTCGGGGGGTCCCAGGGCCCCATACTTGTCATCAGTCACCGAGGGGCCCTGCGGAGAGTCAATGAGCGGCTTTAGCTGGAAGACCTCGAGGTTCTCCTGATTCCTGCGGTTGTAGACGCTGAGGCGGTGGCCGAGCTCAGGGCTGGCCCTCACTGAGCCGGCCGGGCTGGGCAGCTTCAGGTTGACAGGGTCCAGCCCCTTCTGCGCCAGGCGTGCCTCTTCAGAGAGGGAAGAGAGCAGCTCCTGGACCACGGCTTGTGCCACCCGCTGCTGGCTGGACACGAGGTCTGCGCGAGGGCTGGTGCCGGCCGCGTCCTCGCAGGCTGCGCTGCAGTCTGGGGAGGAGCCCAGCGTCTGGCTGCTCTCGCTGCACGCCTGGGTGCCGGAGCTGACGGTGGAGCGGGAGGCGCTGCCCGAAGTGATGCTGGCCGACGTCCCGGTGCTGCTCAGCCGCATGGGCACCTCCACCGTGAAGAGATCGGAGGAGATGTTGGGGCGATGGACGTCGATGGCGGCCGTGGTGACCACGCAGATGGCAGCCTCAGGAACACCGCTGTCTGCAGGCAAGAACGGCGGAGAGGGGCAGGTGAGAGCACAGCGCAGGGAGGAAAACGAAGTAGCAGATCTGAGAGACCACTGCAGCTCTCTGAGGGATGGATGGGTGGACAGAGCCCTGCACGCTCCACTGTGAAAATGTATTGGCAGACAGGATCCCTCTCCTTTCCCGTTATTCATTGTATACTTAGGTAAATTAAATCAGCACAGGTAAATGCGTACGTGCACTTACGTATGTGCAGAGACAGAAAGGGGGAAGTAAAACATGGCAGAAATAGCAAAAGTACAGCTAAACGTGCATCTACATGGACACATTTTACAGCTACCACATACAGGTGTTTTTATGAAACGTACCAAACGCCCCCTCCTGCTCTTTCCCCCTAACTAATGTTTATGTAGGCCTCTTTAAATAAATAAATGTATAGATGGTGTTTCCCAAATACCTGTGTTGTGTTTTTTATCTAATTTATCCAACTGTCTAAAAATAAAAGAGCTCCCCGAGTCTCCACAATGCGACTCCTAAGTCCACACCTGTGTTTTGTTCATCTCTACATTGGGACTGATGCACAGGCAAGAAAATAAACCTGTACAGTCTTGAAGAAAATAAACAGACACATTCATGCCCACACCGTTACCTATCTTCAGTTACATGGTTATGTACGTATCTTACATCTGTGCAGTCACACACATGTGTGTCTTCATGTACAAATAATGGGAATATGCACATACTTGTAATTCTTAGTACACCTTGGTACTTGTATATGTGCAGGTACTCATATAAAATACATAAATATAGTCTTGCACACACCCCTATCTAGATATTTGTATACATATATAGGTAAATGTACATATACATACTTAGGTAAATATGTATGCCATGTCTAGCATACATGTATATAAGTAGGTGTGTACACATGCATGTACACATGTCTGTATGCATACTTATCTATAAAAACATGCATGTAGTGCATTATCAATCTATACATTCCTATATATAAAATATTATACAGACACATGAAAATTGTTTCCTTTTATAAGCAAATAAGCATGGCTATACCTAAACAAAAACATTGCACATAATAACCATATACAGTCATACCTATGTGTACACACACACACACAGTTTTTAACGCATACATTTTAATAAGCAGATATGCAGGCATCTGTGTGGGTTGGTAGGTGTAGATATTGCTGTACTCATATAATAATACAAATATATATGTACACAGTTTTCATTTCTATACACTTTATACACACATATATAAACAAAGATCTGTGTGTGTACACAGTTATATAATGTATAAATTTTGGCTGTACGTATATAACTCTACATTACACACCTGTGTACAAATACATGTGTACATGAGGGCTGATCCAAAAGTAATGCCTCCTACCTTATTCTGTTGGCTCACACCACCAGTGGCAGATGGTGGTGTTATGGCTACAGAGCTCGAACCTTCCCACCAATACTCCATTACATTTTGTTGCCTTGTGACACCTGGCAGCAGTGAGGTTCTCTATTAGAATGGCACCCGTCATGTAAGTGAAGGTGAAGCATAGGGGTGGAATTGAATTGCTGATGAAAACAAACATCTAACAGTGGTGTCTGTGTTGAAAGCTTGTGTTTTGCAGCCAAGGATTTGCTCTATCTCACAGTGTTGTTGTGCTCTTCGAAGTTGTGGCAGTTTCCATGAAAATAAATAGGAGGCATTGCTTCCAGAGCAACCTACTTACATAAACACGTACCACACATGTATAGGAGCATCAGTATAACCCTGGGCTTGGGGGGCGGGAGGAGGGGAATGTATGTGGTGGAACGTATAGATGGGAATATAAATCTATAATGCATTATACATAATCATCTCTATCCCCACATGCATATTTTATATTTAATGTACAATGCATGTGAATAATTTACATATTAGCTGACACATACCTTGACAAGAATATCCACGTCTATTTGCACATGCATACTTTATGTTCTGTATGTGTATACCCACATCTACGCCTCCCTAGAAATCTATATGCACCCACCTACCTTTTTTATTATGTGCATATGATAAAAAGGTATGCAGTTATGTTTATTTCTGTATGCATGTGTCTGTGTGTGTCTGCACTGGGTATCTCTGTGTGCCCATCTATATTTGCCCAGCTGCATGGATACACACTCCCATACTTATATGAGCGTAGATACGGTGCTGCACTGAGCTCACTCGCTTTCATTCCCATTCCTTGCCCAGTGGGATCTCCCTGCAGACCCAGCAGAGCATTAACCTCTGCAGGACATTCAGCCCTCCAGCCTGTGATCTGCACCTCAGGGTGCCCCTCACCCTTGCAGAGCTGCTGCTTTGGCTCTTATGGAGAACACCACCAGCTGTGGGTGTTGGGTTCCATTCCCAGAACAGACTCTGCCATTGCTCAGCCTCACCGGGGTTACAGCACACAATGCAATGCAAACATTTGGTTCACACTCACGTTTTCAAGCAGAACTTACCACTGCTGGGCTCATTGTAGTACCGGCTGATGTAATTGTTCATGTCATCCTCTGAAACAACAAGAAGGCAGCGTGTGAGTAAGTGGCTGACCTGGCACAGCCTGCTCACAGCCCCATGGCCTCCTTGCCCTTCCAGGGCCGGGTGTGATGCTCAGATCCTGACTGTGCACTGCACACCTCGTAGCAGTGGCACCCACAGGCTGATAGGAGCAGGGTTCTTCATCACAGCTCCGTGGGATCAGAGCTGCCCAGCAGCGCTGCGTGCTGTGCTCTAAAAGCATTCTCATCCTTTTAAGTGCTCCTTTTGATACCATGTTTCAGAGAAGCATGCTCATCCCTGTGGGGCAGATTCCCTTCGCCCCCCGGGTCCCTGCGGCCGCTGTGCTGCCTTTCACAGCACTCTGCGGTTTGCAGGTGAAAGAAACAGATGTTTTCTGGGGAGCACTTTGCCCATACAACAAGACCCAAACCACCGAGCACTCTGTACCTGAAATAGCTGCACTCGTAAGAAGGCAATCGAACCTGACACTGAAAGGGAACGCGGTTGTTTTCCTGGTTTCATTGGCTCCTAAAAGCTTTCTTGGCCCCTGTTGATCTTTAAATGCCTGCAGTCAGAGGTGTGCTTTGTGCTAATGTCCAAGTTTAAAAAAGAGGCCTCCGAGTAGCTCAAGGCAGCGCTGCAGGATTAGGGTACGTTGCAAAGCTCTTCAGCTATCTGCTACTCAAAGACACTTCATTTCAATCATACATAATTCACACTGTGAATGCTAGCAGACCCACCAGCCTGTGCAGGTACTTGGACAGATCTGTGCAGATGTTCTTGGACACGCAGGGAACCTTTGGATACATGCAGACCTCCGTCCCCTTCAGCTTTCATGGAAATCTGTCCCAAACACTGCAATGCTTTGTGCTGAAGCAAGCAAGCAGCTTGGAAACGGTGTTTACCTGCTTTCTGAGTCAAGGCCCCAGTTAAACCTTCTGTATGATCACATGCATTGCCTGCCATCCACCTCCAGTGTGCGTCCTGCTATGCTACCACAAAATCCAGTGCCTTCAAACCAAGTTAACAGAGTTACAGACAATTCATTACTTCAGCAAACCAATGCCAAGCAGCTGCAAAGGATCTGCAGCAGTGCAAGCACTCACTCCAGCACAGCACAGTTACTGCTCTGCCTCACTGCCTGCTGCCATGTCAGCATGCAATGGCCTCCTTGCCCTCATTGGGCTCTTCTTTTTTATGTGTGTGTGCATCTCTCTCTGTAAATAATATAAACATGCATGTGCATATATAAAATATGAAATACTTCTTTTTCTAACCTTGAGGAGTTTCTTATGAATAAAAAACAATACAGAGTATTGGAATAACAAGAGCAGGATAAATATTTCAGCAACAGATTAGGTTTCTGAACAAGGCAAACTGACAACTAACAAACTCATCTTGGCCACAGGGAGTCACAGCTGTTTTGGGGCATAAGAGGCTACAAACAATCCCACTTATCTCTGATGATAGCTAAGAATACCACCTAAGAAGGTGCCTAAGAATACCACCAAGACCAAACTGGAAGCAACCACTTGTGCACACAAACAGAAAGTAACGTTACTGGGGAACTGCTTCAGAACTTCGTGGTGATTTACCCTGAAGTCCCCACTGTCAGCAGCCAGAAGGATCAGGAGCACAGCAGCAGGAGGAGGTGGGTGTAAGCGAGGGAGAATAATTCCTGCAAGGGAGCAGACTGCTGGTAGCACGGAGTGTTCTCTGTTCTCGGGATACTTGAGCTTCAGCTGCAGAAAAGCAGTGGTCTTTACACAACACTTCATTCTGTTTTTAAAATTGCTGGCAGCTCAGGCTTTTGGGAGCCCCACCATCAGTGCATCCCCTCAGAGCCACGTCTGCCTGCTGCCTCCAGCAGGGCCACGAGTCCCACTGGACAGAAGGGAGCACGGCCAGGAGAGCCGTTCCTGCCGACCCCACATAAATCCAGAACGGCTCTCCCTGGTGCTGCAGCCAAGCGCCTCTGCGAGGCTGCACAAGTGCAGCAAAGCCCAGTCAAGAAGGGCAGTAAGCCCTCTCTCTTTGCTTGCCAACCAAATCTCCATTACTGAAACAACGTGCAGCCCTTGGTTGGGATCTGCCTGAAAGCTACAGGATTTTATCTTCTGTTCTTTTCCTGCGAGATTCAGATTACATCTCCTCCACCTCAAGTGGTTTAGGGAGCAATAAACCATTTGGAGTACAGTCCCATATAATCTCATCTGACCCGAGAGAAAACACTGTAATCTCTCTCTCTTGGCCCTGTAAAAACCTCATAAATTTGGTGAAGCACATAAATGACACTCTGACCAAGGCAGATCTCTTTTTTAGTTCTGTAATCTCCCAACAGTGACCTTCAGTTGTTTCATCAACGACTGCAAAACCTCTGTACACAATAAATGCCATTTGCACATCTACGTGATTAGAGGCCTTAAAAAAATAATTTTTTAAGAAACAGAATTAGTTATTGTAACAATCAGAGAGACCAGTGTGGAATAGCAATGCAGGAGGTGCAGTGACAAAAGGACTACAGCGATGGAAAGGGGTTACAAGGAGAAAGGGAAAGTGCTCACCCTTCTCTGAAGATCCAAGCTTGCAGGGAAGACTCCACAAGGGAAGGATCTCCAACCAGAGAACCTTCCCCAGTGAAAATCAACCCTTAAACAAGGTCTAAGAGAGGTGCAGCCAGGCTCCACCCTGCATTGCCTTCACCTGTCTTCCCAGGGCTGACAGGATCCTTTCCACAGGTGCTCAATCAGTGGTTCAGGGCAGGACTCTACACTTCCCATACAGTTATTAAAATATTTTACTTCATATTTGTATTGCCATCGGTTATACTGCCTTCCATCCCAAAGTTGCATGCTTTGAATCACCGGTTTCCTTCTGCTAAGCAATCTCTCACTGAGCAGAGCAATCCCTGGCTGCACCTTCCTCCAGAAGGCAGTGATCTGCACAGAGAGGCTTCTAAAGGAGCTCATCCACTTCCATTGCTACCACCATCTAGAAGCAATTAGGAGAGAAGCATAGGATAAAATACACTTTCCAATAAAAGTCACTGAGACACTGAGCAGGAAAGTTTTTTCAGAGCAGAAATTATGAGACCAAGCTGTTGTCCCCTGAATGCTTGCAGAAATAGAAGCAGTGATGACAGCTATACTGCTCCAACAGCCCATGGCACTGCTCACTCATCCATTCATTTATTAGGGCACACAACTCTGAGCTGTGCCTCCTTCACCTTCCTGGTCTCAAGTAAGATGACCCAAAAAGAATGTTTTCCCCTCTGCTTTGCTGGCCCCAAAAGGTGTCTCTACCTTTCCCTCTAGCAACATGGAGAGTTTGTGCCAACAGGAAATACCAGCAGCCAGTTCATCCCTTCCAGGAGACATTCACACAAAGGCAGGTTGCCACGCAGTGCTGTGCTCACATGGCCTCCATCCACATACGTGTCCAGCCAGCACAGGTTGGATGGCTGCCTGAGCACATGGGATAATCCACCATGAGAGGAACTGCTGCAGCTACCTTGCACAGAAAGCAGAGCCACAGAGTCAGCGTGGTTCTAATCTGAGATGAAATGTCATTGTGGAGAAAGGAAAACTGCAGACATGGAAGATCAGCGCAGCAGGTCATGCTGCAACAGCACAGCGTGCAAAGAGCAGGGCTGAGATGCAGGACACTTGTGTGTGGGCACAGCCAATGGCTTTAGGTGCAGGATGGCCTGGGGGACCTCTCCGTGCTCATCTTCCAGCCTTGTTCTCTGTGAGTAGGGAGCAGCAGATCTGTATCTGAGCTGGTGTGGATCAAACACAGAGGAGCTGGGGCAAAACAGCTGTTTGCTGCATCGAGAAAAACAAACGTTGAGAAAAAATATGGATATCAACAAAATAACCATCAGCAGGGACAGAGAAGGATAATTTAAGGAGAAGGACTCAAGAACAAACTGATAAACTGGCAACGAATGAGGGCAGAGTAGGGGTTAGGGAAAGCTTCTAATGCTTTAGGAGAGTGAGGTGCAGGAACAGCGTTCCAATGCCAACAGAGGGCACCGTATCTCACTGCCTTCACAAAACTGGAGAACAACCCATTGTGAAAGGGATTGTTACAGAACGGATGAGGTGCTTGGCAGTGGGAGCGTTCCAGCTGTGCTCCTTTAACTGCCAGCAATATCTTCAGTCCCCATGTACTAATGATGGCGGACAACTTCAACCCCATGTGTGTGATTGCACGGTCACCACTTCTGGAAGTGGAAAGTTTCTACCCTGCCAGTTTGGTGAACATGAAATCCAAGAGCCTCACTCCACCAACTACAGATACACTTAAGTGCTACTTGATGTCTAATTCCTATGATTTCTGCTTGGACGATCACTACAGAGAACCAAAAAAGCCTAAAATGGGTACCTATAGAGAAACTAAATCCTCAGTCTTTCCAAGATACATAGAATTTGACCTGGAAGTGGAGTGCTCTGAAGATATAACCATTAATAGGAGTAGACTTCAAAGCAGATACATTCCAACATTAGAAAAGAACCCGATTTATTACCAACTGTCCTGCAGTGACAGGGCTCTCCTCACCACTAACAGGATCGCTTCAGGAACTGGCTTAATTTGCAACAGTCCCAAGTGTTTAAACAGCTCACGCTGCCTTGCAAGCAACAACTGACAGAACCCTTTGCAGTGCCCCACTTTGCCTTCTCAGGCAGCAAATGACTAAACTTAAGGGAAGCCTTCTGGAGCTCCAGAACTGGTCATTCTCCCCTCCCAGTCTCCCACTTTCTTCACTTGCAGAACACGTCAGTGCCTACGGGGAGAGTAAGCTTCTCTGTTCTCTAAGAATGACCATAAATTGCAGCAGTCCCCCAAAGAAAAACACTGCTAATCCCCCAGAAACAGAAATTCCACTCTGAATAGCTAAAATCACTGTTCTGCCATGGGAAGTAACAGAAAATGGGATCCAGTTCTTGCTCAAATCAGTACAAAGGTGCCATACTGCTTTTAAACTATGGCAGTGCTGTAGAATTTCCCAAACTGCAATGACATATGCAGGAAAATGAGGAATTTCCTCTAGGGACTGTAATTCATATATTATGAGGGAGATTAAAGAATAATAAATTTTGGAAGGAAGTATTAATGGCTGGATGGGGTACTGTGAACCCAGCATTCCCTGGAGCTGGAGGTTTGTAAACTGAACAGTAAAAATGATTTGTGCAGGAGCAGAAAATGTTGGATTTTATTCTGACCGTAACTGGTTCCATGCTGCAGGAATTCAGGAAGAGAAAAAAACCTCCTTCATCACTTAGAGGTGAGCAGATAGGATACATCGGGTGCTCCAAAAGTAACGCCTCCTATTTGTTTCCACAGAAACTACAACAGCTACAAAGAGCACAATAACACCATTTGATAGAGCAAATTCCCAGCTACACCAGATGTAATGGAGCATCGGCAGGAATGTTCAACCTCTGCTGCCATACCACCACCATCTGCCCCTGAGCCAACATAATACAACAGGAGGCACACACAGGCACCCACATGCAACCAGCGGTCGTCCCCAGCTCCTTACAAACCCCACAGCGCTATTTTGAAGTCTGTGAGTACCATCATCATTCAAGTCTACAGAAACTGAGGCAGTGAAGCCAAATAAGATGCTTACAGGGCAGCAAATGTCACAGCAATGCCTCCCTTCTCTCTCACCTTCCCTGGCAGTGACAACGACTGCACGCTGATTTGACCTGTGTGTCAGCCTTTGTGTCTGGCTACTCTGGAGTCCAGTTTGTTGGCTGGACAAATAAAATCTCCATTCAAAGAAAATAAAGTTGAAACATTTCCTGCCTCTTTGCCAAATTAAGTAGTAATTAGCATATATCCATGCTTTTTCCAGAGTTATTCCTACTGTCTTCCTACCTCCTACTGTTAGGATTTTTCTTCAGTGTCTGAAGAAGCAGTACATCAAGAACAGGCACAGAGTATCAGTTAGGGAGTTATGGGACGCTTTCAGAGCCTGCTGACCATTTGACCAGAATTACAGGATAACCCGAGTTGGAAGGGATTGAGTCCAACCTCAGGCTCTATAAAGGAGCACCCCAAATCCAAATCCCGAGAGTGCTGGCCGTGCCCACTGCCCTGGGCAGCCTGTTCCATGCCCACCGCCCTCTGGGGCAGAACTTTTCCCTATCACCCACCTGGTCCTCCCCTGACACAGCTCCATGCCACTCCCTTGGGTCCTGTTGCTGTCACAGAGAGTAGAGCTCAGCACTGCCCTTCCACTCCCCTCCTGGGCAAGGATATGTGCAGGAAGCTACAGAACAGCACACGCAGTGAGCTCCTGATGCTGGCCACACTGCGTGTCTCTGCACAAATTCCCAGAGGTGTTGTGTGTACCACGTGATGCTGGGGTTACTTGACTTACCTTACTGAATGCTGTAGTAAATTGGTGCACGAAATCCAGTGTAAATACCAGAGTACAAGCTGTCCCCAAGGAGCTTTAACTTATGTACTATGCCATAAAACTCCCAGGTATGGAAACGAATAAAAAGACTGAATGCTTTCTTATTCCATAACCCTTCCATGATGAAGTATTCTGCACTGAATGTTTCCATTGTTCAGTGTAGACGGGGGAAATAAGATTAGCTTGAGATGGAATATCCCATTTTTGCATGCAGTATGTTCTCCAGCCAACTAAAGCTTGCTGGTTTGGCACAATCCAGAGCTCTCCAAAGATGGCAATTTTTTTTTTTGAAGGCTGACAAAGTTAAGTTTGGCACAAACATATATATTCTATGCCATACCCTACCCTCAGGTGTTGTATGTAAGGCTCATGTTCTGCCAGAACAGAAAAGAAGAGCCTCTCCTGAGCCTGTTTTGCCTGACAGCTGAATTCTGACTTTGAATTGCAGCTTTTTTTTTTAGCAGTATTAGCAAACTGGTCCCTTACTTCTCCTCAAACTAGTCACTGCAATAGGCAATTGCAGATGTTTCTCCAAGCTCACAAATGCCATGTGGCCCACAGAATGATTAACTGCAGTAGTCACTCTGGAGTATTAAAGAAGGACAAAAAAACACAGTTAAAGTGGAATTCCTACTGTGGTCTGATAAGAGAGGGTACCTTGCAATACATAACTCTTGACCTAAAAAGTAGGGGTAAAAACACTGGTGGCTAACAGCTCCAGGTAGAAGTGGCTGGAAAGCCCTAAACATAGGAGATCCTACATCATCCATATACCCATTCCATGCTGTGCAAATGAAGGACTCTTGAGCTGAAGACATGCTCTTCCTCTGTGTGGTGTATCAAGCTGTTGGCTAAGGTTCAGAAGTCCTGTAACTTACACAGACGCAATTTCTAAGTCAGCATTGCTACAACAGTATTCAAAGCCTTGCCATAACGGATGTGTTACGTTATTATTTCTTTTCTCTGCAGAATAATGCAGGCAACTACATGCGAAATCCTCTGCCTCAGTTGACTGTTCCCTGGATTATGGATTAAAGCACTGAATATTACTGCTGGGAGTGTGGTTTTTCGTGCAGTTTGATCTTGGTCCCACTTGTCAATACTCCACCATAATGGCAGACTATCACAGGTGGCTGCCCCTTGCTGTAAGGCCACAGGACATTCTTTCTGTTCAATTGTAAAACATGGAGTCACCTAAACTTAGCTTGTTAAACTTAGCTCATAAGAATTCATCTGCAAAAGCTTTGTATATAATATATGGTACGATGCACAAAAAATATTTCCTTGTGTTTTTAGTTGACTTCTGGGAACCAAAAAATAATTCTATGATTCTCAGTACGAATGTCTAAACATAACTGCACCTCACCTGATACGTGAAGTAGTGCATGCTTTCTCATTTGCTGGATGCATTTTTTCCCCAGTGGAAAGCACGACTTGCTCTAATGAATCATGTAACCTAACAATATAGAAACCAAGATTATGTATCTACTTTGATGCATGTGTAGCCAGCATTTTACAGTGAGAAACTAACCATGAGTACTTGTGTTAATCTGGAACAAATACTTTGGACAGAAAAAAAAAATCAGATAAATCTCCATAGCGCTGTAATTTCAGCAAGTCTCCTTCTAATTGTGCACAACACTCTCCAGTTCCAAATGTAACCCTCAAGGAACACATGCATAAATTATAATATATCCACTGGGGAAACCTCTGAAATCCTACAAAAAGGGGGAAATGCGTTTTAGGGGACAGTCTGCTCAACTGCCTGCTTTTAAATACAATTTCAAATCAGGAATAATTAATGGCTGAACTGTGGTTAGTGCTCAGACATTACTACAGAGGACAAAACAGAAGCAATTTCTACACACTTTCATTACTGTGTAGAGAAGGAAAAAAACGATAGTTTGAAAGAATCTGGTAAGCTTTTTCTCCTATGGCTTTTGATTACAATATTTCTATCCCTTAAATTCTGAGGAGTTGACCAAATAAAGGTACCAACCTCTAAACCTCTAATTCAGGCAATATCCACACACTGCTCATCTACTGAAACAAGAAAACTGGGATGTCCAACGGGTATCATTACGATAAAAAATTACTACATGAAATATGACATTAACCATCAGTGAGATGGTGGCACATTCTCTCCCCTACCATGAGCACTGGGAAACATGGGTAAAGCAGCTACATCCTGCCCAATAAAGCCTTCTGGTCTAGCACTTCAGGGGTAATTAAAAAAAAAGGGTGTAGGTCAATATAACTGCTAGTGTTCCCCTGAACCACACATCTCACCTAAAAGACAACCCACAGGACTGCTCCTCAGCACAGGCGCTGCCTACAGTGTGCAAATGCTCCTTTCCTTGCACCAGAGCCACCCAGTCTGAGCACAGCTGAGCCGTCCAGCATTTTTAACCACTTAGTTTTAAACCACTTAGTGGGAGCCTAAGCCTCCAACCAAGGCAAGCTTCACAGCTGGTGTGTGGGCAGCCATACCACCTGGAAGGCAAGCTGGGATGTGGTGCAGTCGGCAGGATGGCTGGAACTAGTAGAAGAGAGACAGTCTTGTTTCCATCAATTCACAAAATATTACACAGAACACAGAATAAAATACGACACGCAGGTTTCTATGGATTTGCACATCTGCCGTTGTCCATTTATGCTTGTATTTCTAATCCACATACATAACATTAAAATCATACAATCACCAACATTGAAAAAGACCCCTAAGATCATCTGGTCCAACCAGCACCACCATTTCCCCACTAAACCACGTCCCTTAGTACAACATTTAGACATTTATTGAACACAAGAACTTGAGTATCTCCCAGCAGACACCGGACTCTTGGGCAATGATGGCCAAAAAAAAGATAAAAAACCATCCAAATCAACTCCTAATGTAGGCAGTCTGTCCTGTCAATAGATTTACAGGCAAAGGTAATCTGGCCCAATACATTTAACCTGATACTTTTAAAAGCAGTATGAAAAAAGACAACATTATGAATATCAGTAGCTGACCTATGCATTAGGCTTCTGAGCAGACAAAGTAAAAGCTGAGAGACATGACATCAATTTAGAACAGCCCTAAGTCCTCCCTAAACCACAGAATTGCAAACAAAAGAAATTGTTTTTCAGTTCAATTTCCCTACTTTTAACTCTGACTGATTACTGCTTTGCCAATTCTAGTTTGGCTGCTGCTGCTTTAGTGTTTGAGGGATACAATCATGAGGACATTGGGAAGGTATATTGCTGTCATTTTCATCCAGAGTTGTTTCACTGGCTCTAGTAAAAATCTGCTCAAAAATGCAACAGCTTCTGCCACTTTGGAGCAGATACAGCTTCTTTGCAAAAACAGAAAAATGCAGTCTCCAGGGAAGTGAACAAATTCACTAGCAGAGGGAAAGCAGTAGGTTCAGTCAGTCCATGAAAGGGAACAATAGCGCCGTGGATAGCAGCACACGGGCAGCACTCACCTCGTGGAGACTGCAACTCAGTGATGGTCTCAGTGGCTTCATCATCTGAGTCTTCAGTGGCAACCACCTTGTACCTGTTGCTGCTCTGCTTGTTCAGTACGTGTGGCACCTGCAGCGCAGCTTCTCTCTCTGCAGCCAGGTCCAAATCTTGCTGAGCAAGGTGGGCCCTCAGCTGTCTGATCTCAAACTAGAAGAAAAAACAACAGCTGGTATTGATGTCATATGAATGTGGCTAGAAGCCCATATTTTACAGGTTGGTACCTATTATTCAGTTTACCACTCAACTACTACAGACTGCCAACAGCAAACACAACATGAGTATGCTAGCATTTGAGTCCATGTTACTGATGCTATCCTGCAGCTCAGGTGAGTTGGATTATTGCTCACATAATCTAAAAAACTAATCACCATGTCGTGTGGTCTTCTGTTTTGTACACGTCTCCCTCCTGGAGATATGCTTTTGGACAATTCCTTACAGATGCAACGGTCAAACTGAAAGACATCTTTACAGAAGAGCATCCTTGGTAAGCATTTAGCTACTTACATTCCTGACAAACATCTCTAATCTGCTAGACTGTAACAGGGATTTCTGGGATAGGTCCTCCCACACTAACTTTAGGCAAAGGGGCACTGCAGTCTCCTTCCAGCCTGAAGTCTTCTGGACTCCACAGCATGAAGAAAACCCTGGGGCAGGCTGACACTTTTCTGTCCACTCCTCTCAAATACAGGAGCTGCAGCACTTATTGACATTCTGCAGTCAGGATAGGATTTGTCCAAAAAGCAGATACAGTTAAGATGACAAAAGTTACCCGGCACAGTTTGCATATTTCTCCCATGTCTGACAGCCACAGGTCTTCCATAATGCAAGAAGGGAATTCATTTTTCCAAAGTGCAAAGACAATTCAAACTTTTATATAAGCACCACAAAATCTCGCCATCCCTCCCCTTATCCAGCACTGCCACATTACAGCAGATTTCTCCTTTTCAAACTCTTTTTAACATCAGTAATATGGCAGTGCCAAGTCGTGCATAACTATAGAGAATCTGAAGGGGGGAAGCAAATGAGGCAAGTAATAGGCTAAGGCATTTAAAGTGTAACAGTGCTGGTCTCCCTTAGTTCAAGGCCTGAGAAGCCATCAGAGTGTGATGCTTGCTCCAGCAAGCCACACTGCACCTGTCACTCTGTGTTTACAACAGAGATGGAATTAGCACCTCCATGCTTGAAAACCAGTGTGTAACAGCATGTTTCAGGCTAAATGAATCTGGGTCTGGCTCTTGCTTCTCAGATGCTGATTCTAGTCTGCCGTGCCATCAGATTTTGGGACTGTCAGCAGACCTAGTTTGCTTGACTGCTGTCCACATGAGACACAGCGTGCATGCCAGGCACACTGCAGAGCACCAGCAGCTCCTCTAACCTGGGCAAGCAGCTTGAGGGAAAACAAGACAAAGCTTCCTCAGATTTTAGAAAGAGAGGAGGAAAACTAAAAAGGAATTAAAATTGCTGTATCTGGAAACTGTCTGCTTTCCAAAGCATAAAGAAAGGAGCTTACAGGAAAGAGAAGACCCAGTGAGAGACTCAAATCCAGAGAGCAAAAGGGCAGTTTAAGCTCTCTTGATCACATTCAAACCACCTGCTGCAGAGATCAAACAAAAAAAGCAGATCTTTCTCTCCTTAAAACAGCAGAAAGAGGTCTGGCAGATGCAGACAGGGTGCAGTTTTCACTGCTTTTAATCAAAGGCCAACTAGCAGACTAGCAGTGGCAGTCAGGCAGCATCAACAAATGTCAAAATGCTGTTCTGCTCCTCAGTCCCTGCAAGGAAATCTCTGCAGCAGCTCCCATCTGTGGTTTCTGTCTTTATCTATCAGCTAGGAAGTGGGGAATACTCCTTTCCCAGGTAATTTCAGGTTCTGTTCTTGAGTCCTAGAAAGAAATAGAAACCATAGATACTTCGTACTTCATCTTCAATGGGAAAAAGACACCCTTTCAGACTCTCCCTCATAAATCTGGACATTTTTACTTTGGCTTTGCCAACAAGCTATGAACCACTCAGCCTGGCACACCGACCAAGCAGCGCTTGGTAAGCATCCCTGTGATGGCCCCAGTGGGCAATTCCACTTTGTACAAGCAATTTTTATTTACTATTTCTGTAGGGAAAATGGAACTGGAATCCACAGGGAAAATGATCACTGCTATCCAGGTGAAAGGCCACTCTGGTAGCATCAACAACAGAAGGGGTTTTGCTGCCATCTTATGTTTAAAGGACAGAAATACATGCCTGTGGCTCCAGCAGCAGAGGATGCACCTGCTCATGATGTTATGTTCCAGAAGCTGAAACCCAGGACGGGTACCTCGGCTGACACAGTGCTTCCCTCATCCACAGCAGACTGGTAAGCACAGACACGAGGATTAAATCCACAGGCACAGTAAAGCAGCACACTGCTCTGGACTTCACCATCGTGTAAATAACAGGCAGCTATTCAGTCAGATAACAGCAGAAACCAGCATTGCCTACCAAACTGCACAGCTTCAGCTGCTTAACAAGGACTCTCTCTTTTGCAGTATTTCAGATGGACAGCTTCCAGGGCTCACGTTTGCCCTGATGTCTGTGTAGCCATTAAAACAGTGAGAAGGCAGAATTAAATACTATCATGCATGTAACTGTATTTTTATTTGTTAGAAGAGGGTATTCATTGTAATAACAGTGCCTGTTGCACTCCCACATTCACTGTTATTGCTGCCAAGTGATCTATACACATACATACATATATATACACACACATTCCACAGAGATGCAGAACCAAAACTCTGTCAGCAGATTATGGAGCATAAGACAGTGCCCAAACCCAATTCAGTACACTGCTCACAAATGCAAACCAAAACCCTCACTCTAAGGCAGCACATTCAGAAAACCACCACTTGCTATCCAGATTGATTCAAGAAAGTGAAAGGACGTTTGTTAAAATATCTAAGAAAAATTACACAGAAAAGCTTTTAGCAAGGTGTGCATACACTCAGGAAATCATTTCAATACCGATTGTTCACAAGTATTAAAAATTATCCCAAGTTATGTTGAAGCTGGTATGCAGTTTTGACCACTAAAAGCAACTCAACAAAACAAAGGTTAAGTCTGAAAGAAGCACGTGTTCCTTATTGGGCATGATTCAGTGAAAGACTGCGTGAGCAAATTACCTGGTAGGTGCAAATATCTCCTGAGCATTATATTGAACACTGACCTCGGGCAGCTCTAATGTGTAAAAGAGCTAATGAGATTGCTCTGACTCCATACCACACAGGCCAGGGCAGGTTAAATAAATCAGCAGAGGGTGTAAAATATAATGATCTTTTTAACTGAAAATTCTGGGCCAAAGCTAAACACATGAAATTTCTATTTGCAGCAGGAGCTGATGCAGCTATCTGAAATGTAGACCTGGGCAGCATGAACACAGCTGCAAGAGAGCTGCACTGAGGAAGTTATGTTTTGTATTTTGAGACAACCTACAAAGGCTTAACTGTTTGAAATTTATATGAGGGAAAAGGCAAAAGCATAGGCACTCATTCATAGGATTTGATTTGTTTCAGTTAAGACTTGCTCATAGGTATCAGCCGGGTGCTCAGAAATTTGTAAACCACACTGAGCACCTGGGCAAACAGCTTTGTTGTGTGGAAGATAACCTGGTGAGGGCAAGGAGACTCAGGTAAACTATCTTCCAACTTAAGATAATCAAAAACTGAGCATTAGTCCATTTAAGGCTGCTACTGATGTTATTTACCAGCACACCTATATCATTCATTATCTTCAATTACACATACTTTGGTAGCTTCTCATGGGTTCCTTTGTCAATAAGCTCCTTAACATATTTTACAATGGAAAAAACATATTTGAAAACTTCACAGATCACAGCATAGTTCAGGCTGAGATGCACCTCTGAGGACCAACTAGTCCAAAATCTTGCTCAAAGCAAGGCCATTTAGCTCAGCCTGCTACAAGCTTGTGCTGTCAAGTTTTAATTATCTCTCTGGACGTGTTTACCACAACCTTCCTCTCCTTTTTGCTCCAGTACCTGACCATCTTCCTAGTGCAAATACTTGTTCTTTTATTTACAAAGAATTTTCCATGTTCCAGCTTATCTCTGTGCACCTCCAAGCAGAACCTGGCTGTACTACACATGAGGGAGCCGAAAGCAGCAGTCTGTTCCATCTTCTCTTCCTAAGGCTGAATGAGCCCAGCTCCTGCAGCTTATTATCCTACTCTGTGTGCTTCAGCCCTGAGCATCACTGCTGTCACTGTGTTCAAGAATTCTTCTTATATTGCAGAGCTCACATTGGCCACAGCACTCCAGGTGTGATCTCACAAGCACTGGGCTACATTTCTTAAATCCAGACTTGGGAGGATGCAGAAAATTAAGTCACAATTTCTTCAGAGCAGGCAAAATAAGACTATGCTAGAACTATAGATTTTGTGTGTGTGTGTTAATGATCTGTCTGTTAAGTGTACTGCTGCTGGAGTAGACTTTTGTAATTACATGGAATTAGATGTGCAATTTAAAGGTGTGATACACATGGCTTACATGAAAATATATTCACTATCAAGATAAAGGGAAATAAAGATCATTTCATGCAAGAATAAGTAACTACTTTGTCAGGCCAGATGAGAAAGCTAATTGACTGCAAATTTAAACTGACTTGCTGTCGTCAAAATTAGCAATATTTTGTCAGGAAACAAACCAGAAAGAACTATCGGGCACGCTCGTGTTCCTCCTCACTTCACAAACACATCAGGTAATTGTTGATAAGCAGGTAAGATGACAGAGACCTACCTAGAGCTCTGTGTAACGACTCACTTTATATGGCTAGTTGTATATAAAGTTCCACTCCTCCCATCTGATGTTTTACACATGCACAAGACTCCAAAAGGGACAGATCTAGCAGTGAGTCATATAGAATTTCCCTTTAATGGTTTTGCAACAGAGGATGACTGACAATTTCAGAGAGATCAATGAACATTTTAGTCAAAAGCTACTTATGTCTAATGCAGGCATAACAACTTCTTTCCATTCTATGAGTGCTGTCTGTATAGAATGCCCTGCCCTGAAGCTTATCTGCCATTGGGATGCAATCCAATGTTTATTTCCATTAGTTTAGTCATTGTTGGTAACAATAAAAATCAGGAGACGTTTGCAAACAAATGATTTATGGGCAGAACGAAACATGGGATGACCTTGGCTGCCTTCCACTTACCAAGAAAATGACTGGTAGTTAGACATGAATTAGAATTACTGCAAAAAGATAACATAAGTTATTTCTCCAATAGGTAATTTTACCACCTAAATAGCCCTGTCATTAAACTAGCAGCTGATGTACAAATTATATTCCAAGATAAAAAAGAAATTACAGCTTCCACAGTTCTCACAGTTTTGAGAATGATGAAAAACCCTGTATTACAAGAGCTGACAGAAAAGGAGCTTTTGTGGTACATAGTCTGGGCTGGACTGTACTCAGCTGAATGGCATGAAAATCTAACAGAAAAGATCAGGTAAACAGATTTACCATCAGAAATGGAAGTTTCTTTACAATGATTTCAAAATAAATTTGAACTGGAATTTGCATTGCTAATGAAATTTTGTGTGTGTATATGTATGTGTATATATATATATATATTTCCTTTATAATTGAATTTCTTAAATTGATAAAACTTAGTTATTAAACTGATAAAACGACACCATCAGGAAAATACTCTTTCTATATGTTTGACAGTGATTGCAGTGAGACTTTCTAATCTCTCAGCCATTTTTAGAAATCCCCGTTACTGTGATGGGCAAAATTTCTCAAATCCTTTAGTATTTTCTCTCTTAACCACCCTCATATGCTTCAATCCTTTTTGATGTCTTTCTCGGCCAGAGAATAAATAAGACAGCAAACTATTGAAACAGTTTCAGCAGGGCTCTGCAGAGACCAAAGTTGTAGCCCATGCATCTATAATTTATAAAACATATTCTGTTTTTCAGACGTATGGCTAGCCAAAAATCAGCATCTGGAAGGAGTTTTCATACTTGCAGAATGTCTCCAATGTCACTCAGGAATGGAATAATACTTTGCAGTTGTGATACCCTATCACTGGCCAAAAAATATACACAGCTGACACATGAAACCAGACAGATTAAAAATAACAACGAAAAACCAATACAAACATGCATACAAAAGCCACTACTAGTACAAACTGGTAAACAGGTTTTGCTTTCCTTTCAACTCCTATGCACTCATCTTCCCTTCCTCATTTTCTAGCTTTTATCAACAGAAGCAATTCTGCAATGTGGGATGAAATAGGCTCTAGATACAATTCCTACAAAACCAATCAAATCTGTTACTTTAATTGCAACCCAATCACTTTCCAGATCTGTTTCATTACATGCATTTGTGCAAGTAAACAAGAAAAGTCAGGTTGGCAGAAAGAGGACAAGGGAAATGCCCCTAACAGTTAGCCATACTAACTCAAGCCAATTTAAACTGACCACGTTGAGATGTACAGTTGGTTATGTTTAAGTTAATTACAAGACACAGTCCACTCAACAAGCCTACATGGAAAGAAACGTCAGATGGAGGCTGCTTTTGTGACTTAAATTCCTCCCCTTTATGTATATGCACAACAAGGACTTAAATCACACAGCTCAGCACAAAGAAAATAACACAGCTCACAAATACAAGTTAAAAAGTTCATCTGCGACAGCTTCAAAGCGCAGAAGCATGGGGCCCTGCATGTGTTAGAGGCACCAGGTCAGCCCCTAAAGGCTCTAGGCAGCTCCCTGCTATCTCATTTGCCTGTAATAGACATAGCAGGTACCTTACAGACAAGGCAACCAGGAATCCCTACCTGCTGGACCTCCAGATTTAAGAGCATCCAGACTGCTGCAGGCAACCCCTGGATGCTAAAGCATAGACACACTCACTCAAATCCCAAGAACAAGCAATCCTTCAAGAGGCTGGGACAGGTAATCAAATGAAAAAGCAAAAACCTGGCAGAATTTTAGACGTCAAATATCATTAGGAGACTTTTTTTTCCCCACCAAATACTGTATACAATGCCAATGTGAAAATTATAATGCTGACAACTTGTTCTTGACTGAATTATGAATCTATTAATTTACGAAGAATGCAGTACTTGTGTCAATGCCTTCTGTTGCTAACTGCAGCAAATTAGCACATTTACCTCATATTATACAGCTGAAACGTTTGTTTGGCAGGAACTCAGGACAGTAAAACATGAGAGATTAGTATGCTGTCATTTTTCTACAGTCCATATTTTTCCATAGCTGATGACACTTGAAAGCTAGGAGAGAACCTACTCTGTTTTCACAGATTTACTCATCTACCAAAGCAGTAATTCTTTGTACTTGACATACAGCTATGCTGTAACCATCAGAACTCAGGTTAAGGCTACTATGGTTAGGTACAAAGTCAGGCATGTAGAATGGAGGGTGGCAAAAATGCTCTCAAATCCTGCTTGGTACAATGAGCTTACCTTCACTCAGACTATGAAAGAACAACATCAAAAACTGTTTGGGAAATAGGAGTATTATTTAGCTCCATAATAAAGTTCCTAAAAATAAATGTTTTCAGATTTATGATTGTCAAGAACTTTAACCTAATAGAATGGGCTGACAGACAAAACACTGCTGTGGGACTCAAGAAACTGCTGATTTGCCTACTGCATTTGGTCTAAAGAGATTCTCTCCTCTGTAAAACTGGGTATATACCAGTTCTTGTTCATTTCATGATCGTAGCAGAAGAATGAATCTACCAATATAATTGCACAAAGTTGTCATGAAGAGGACTGCCAGTGGGTTTTAGATTCCTAATAGAGAGATGGGCACATAAACCCCTGATTCAGATTAGGTACCTGTTCCACAGCTGTCCTGTACTGGGATGAGTTGCCTCTCCTCCTGTCTATTCGGGCCCTTCAGCTTTTTTGACTGATTGACCAACCCCAACTTAACCCTCATTCTGTATTTGAAAAACACGAGCCAGAAGTAGGGAACGGGAACTGATGCTGGAAATTTCCAGCCTTTATTTGGACATCTCCTAGTTATCCTTGCAATTGAAATGAGAATTAAGTCAGTTGGAGGATCATTCTGTTGTGGTTTAGTAGTCCTTTGAATGCCCCACTTTGCCTAAGCAGGTTACTTACAAACTCATTTAAATAAGACTGTGTAATTCAAGATGTCTGGCTTATCGTCACAGTGACTGTTTTACACTTTTTCCCCACATCTGTCTATTTTAAATTTCACCTTCCCTTATCTCAGAAGACTGAGCCACTGAATATTTGCAGTCTTGGGAAGAGTCTAAAAAAAATGCTGCACCAGAAGCTTCTAGTTTCTGGTGCAACATCTTGAGTCTGCCAAGAGTCTCAGACTGACCTAAAGGAAGCAGCCTCCTGCATTTAAAGCAGGTAGATTCATTAGCTTTCATGCAAATGCATGTACTTTTCCAAGGAATAAGGCTTTAATACAGTTGCAGTGTCCAGTAATGGCAATGAATTTTGCATGCTCTGAATATTATGTCAAACTGCACTCATTCAATAAATCAAATACTGGAAGCACTCCTTTTCTATTCTTCACATTTGTTTTCCTCACCTTAAGAACACATGCATAGAAGCAACTGCTATTTGACAAATACCATGCTTAAAAATATCCTGGCTGCAGCTAGTATTTCTTTAATGTTGAAATCTGTCACACTGCAACAGATATCCTCATGATACTTTTCAATTACAGCAAAGTACATACACTGTATGATTCTCTACAACAAGCTATATGTAAATAAAGACAGAATTGAACTTTACCCCTTGTTCTTGGCAGATCTGGGTTAGTCTTTCCAGCTGTTCATCCTGAATAACCTTTGCTTTCTCATACTGCTGAATCATCATCTCCATCTCCACTTTCACTGGAAGGACATATGCTGGAAAACACAAGCACTTCAAATGAACCCAAACTATGGTTCTTTTTTTAATTTTTTAAATCAGAGGGAAATCCTTTACATATCTTCACAGCAACAACAACAACAACAAATCACCACTTTCACTTACAGCAAGCGAATTAAGTATTTCTTCTGAGGAAGGATTTCTAACACATGAAATGCTGGTCAAACAGTGGTCTAGACCTTGCTCGGTCAGATCTCCAACTGCCTGGTTGAGCTGAAAAGCATCCTGCATTCTCTTCCTAGCTTTTTGCTAATACAGACATTTCCTAGAGTTTACAGCAGATTTCCCGAATTGCAAGGTAGGATTTTCTGCTTGGAGCTCCTGCCTTCCTCTCTAAACCTGAACAGCAAGGCTTCCTTTGGAAAAGAACAACCTCAGAGCCCACAGCATTAAATTCCTAGACTTGGAGGTACAACGTAAGCCCTTGACGGCAACAGCAGACAAAGGAGATTTTTGACATTTTGTGAATCTCCACAAGATCCTGAACTTTTCTTGGACACTTCAGGCACAGGACTAAGGCCTTTCCTCAATTCTGTATACAGAGATATAACAGTTTGACTCTTTGCTTCCAGGCACAATCACTGGTTCTGCTCTCCACAGCCTTGACTTGCTATGGAGTTCTCATCTCTCATGGTGTTTCCTGACAGAGGTCTGGGCAAAACAGTACCAGTATATGGCTAGTTATTGTGCCATGCAGCACAGCAGTGCCATAGAGCACCTTCAGCTCAGAACCACCATGATAACAGTGACATAAGTTACACTAAAAACAGAATGGAAAGGAAAGGAGCAAGACAGATACAGCTGCACAAACATACAGATGGTGTGGCAAATATTGGAAAAGCACTGGAAGCAATTATTTCATAGAATTTGGAATGGTGCTTGATGGTGAGAGACAGGAAGCATGTCACGTCAGATGTATTTACTTGAAACATGAGACACTTTCACATCCCCACACAAAAAACTAAACCAATCAATTATAAAGGCTGAAATAGAACAGAAAAAAACAGCCATGAAATTGACTCCTATTCTCCTCCATGGGAGCCATCTCTCTCCTCTTTGGTACTTCTAACATGTCAGAGGAAGGGGAACAAAATAGCAGTGGAAAGCAATAGCATCGTGTATTTAATACCTTTTTTTTTGTTTTTCCAGCCTGTCAGGTAGTTCAAGAGTCACAAACTGAATCACCACTCACCATCAATGATTCTCTTCACTCTCCATATTCGTAGTGTGATAATAAGGCTGATAGCATCCCAAGGGCTGTTGGGGCCATTAGCCACTGTTGAGGCCACCATTGGTGCCAAGGACAAGATTATAACAGCACCATCAAACACCTAGAGAAAAAAAGACTTTTCAAACCATCCTGAGGAACACAGGCCCTGCCTTTTCTGTTTGAGGTCATGAAGGGCTCCCATTTCCCCAAAAAGAAATGAAATTAGGGTATGTATTTGGAAGGGATATGAGAGTGGCCAAGCCCCACAAAGACTGCATCCTTTTAAGGCAGCGTGACAGAATTCTTCAGTGCTTCACCCACATTTTATGAAGTGAGGAGAGGAACTGGTGGGAGGGCAGGAAGAGAGAAAGGTATTTGGACCTACTGGCCAGAATCTCCACGTAGAAATGATAGACTAAATGCTATTACAGCTGAAGGCCTTCATTATCATTGATATTTATCACTTATTTTTTGGCATGATTATTTGCCCCTCGCCCTCAAAATAAAGTCCCTGCCCATAGATCTTACTGCCTGAAGGAAAAGATCAAGAATGCAAGTAGAAAAAGATGGTGCAAAGTGATTTAATGGCTCTTGGCCATGTCCTGACTACATAACGTGTGGGAACGTCTGTGCATCCAGACAGAAAGATTCTCTGTTCTCACTGTTATTGGGCAGCAAAATTTTCAAGCATTTGGACAATGTGAACTCTTAAGAACTTGTGTGATGCTAGTTTCATTGTGAATTAGATCAGAAAAGGCAACCGTATTCATCAAAAGTCAGATTTGAGAAAGAAAATAACTTCATGTTAAAATTGGGGTTTTTGCCAAATGAGTATTTCCTATCAGAAAACCATACACCAATTTTCAATCAGTTCTAACCTCAACTTGGTTACAGGAATGTATGCACACAAGTCATACGAAAATTTTTGCTCATATTGCTCATTATCTCAGGGTAGCAATTACAACTGTTGGACTGGCACAGCTCTACCAATAAAATCCACAGGCACACAGGAAGAATCCCACAATCCTCTCCTCCTCCAATAATAAAATGTTTCCAAATATCACACTCCTTGAGAGGCCCACAGAAAAGGAAACTGCATTATGCAGCTTTGCATTCATGTAAACAATGAGAGGAATATGCATACTTATCTGAATTAAAAGGTATCTGCATCAGATCTGTAACAAAGCTACCCAAAGTTCTTAATATTCTCAAGAACGTTAAGACACATGGTCTGCCTGGAAATGAGAGCAAAGAGTGAGACTGCTTACCTCTATTTTGTTTTCAATGTAATCCCATATGCCAAGGACCACAATCCTCAAAACAGTCTAGTAAAATAAATTAGGAAAAAAAAAGATTAATATTACTATAATTTTATATAAACATTAGTCCTTTGCCTACTTAAGGGCTTGTGTTTGTCTTATCTGAGCATTGTGTAACTCTTCTAAATAATAAGGAGCTAGAAATAGCCATACCTTTGGATAGTAGAATAAAGTACTGCTTTCCAATCACTATATTAACTCAGTGAAACTTCATAAACAAGTTCCAAATTCAAATGTTCAGTCTTTCCAACTTTCTCAAGTTTCTTTTAGACATGTGAGATTCAAATCACCACAAAAATAAACAAACCAAACAAATACACAAGGAACAAAAAAGCCCAAACAAACCCAAACCTTCAAAAGATCCACTCTTGGGCTCTCTCGGTTGCGTTCGAATGTAGGAAGATTCTCATTTCTTGCCATCTATGATATGTTAGTGCTTACTATTTCCTAATGAAAATAAAGAGCCACTGTCTCTCTTCATGCCCAAAGCTGATGACATTTCATCAATTTGAAGAGCAGAGACTCTTATTCTCCCCTTGCCTGTCCTGAGTGCAGAGTCCTTGCCTTACTGTGAAGTCCCAGAAAGTCATAGGATAAGAGAGAAAAAGATATTTATGATCCTCCCCAATAATCAAAACAGCTGTAAGTAAGATCAGTAACTAGAAAAGACAGATAAAGAAGGAACACAGAATGAACCAATGGTGAATTCCAATTAAAAATCCAATGGTGTTGTTCCCCTCCACCTTTTTTATTTTTCTTTTTTTTAAACTGGTCTATAGGAGACAATTAAATGAAAATAAATCTGATGATTGAAATTGAATTCACATAAAAGGAATGCAGACATGACAGGCGTGAAGATTCTAACTGCAGCTCTATGACTTATGAAGAAGAATCAATTTCTTCTCCATTAAAGACCACTACCAGCGACAGAGAGCTCGGCAGGCCTACGTGTGAATGGTCACCGTGCCAAGAACTGTGCTGAAGAATCTCAATGACTGTATGATGAATATATATACATGTACATAAATATACATATCACCTCTTCATTAAAAACGCAAACATCTTCAAATCCCAACCAGCTCTGAATTTACCCCAAACACAGCAGCATTACTTAACTGTGTAACAATACTAGATTTTTCAGAGCAGTACCGTTTTGCCAAACCCCACGAGCCCAATTGCCTCCCTTGGTCCAGGATGACCACGCTGAGCTCTACCTTGGCACTCCAAACCTTAATTTGTTTTGCAGAGGAAGACACTGCTGTGAGACATATATTGCTTTCAAATCCTGCCTCATATCACAAATAATGAGAAAAGTCAGCCAACCAGCACTCACTCAGGAATGCTGTTATGTGAAGCAGTGTCCAGGTCTAACTGAGAAAGGGAGTTGCTAGCCAGAAGAGCAAACATAGCGCTCTCTTCCCTCTACAAAAAATGATGAGACTCTATGTAGACACCAAGAACTGCTAATGCTGCTGATCTCTGCTCCGAAAAGAACATTTTAATTCCAAAGTACTTTACCAACAAAGTACAGGAATAGTTTCCTTATGAATCTGTATGCACAGGATATTTTAGACAGGGAAGAAGAAACACTCAATGGCAGCTCTGTGAAACCCCTCACCACTCCAAATTTGCCATTATGGTGTGATGTGAGCACAGTAATGTGTGATGTAAGTACACATGCTGCTGTATGACCAAGATACTCCTGCAGCCTCAGTTCCCTAGCTCCTCTGTAAGGAACTCCCTCACTCCCCACTGACAAGCTGCATGAAGTGCAAGTTACTCAAGAGCACACAGATCCTGCTACATCAGTTAACCTGAGGTCCACAGCAGGAAGCCATTGGGAAATGCATGAGGAAAAGCAGTGCCTTCCCAAAAGCATGAAGTGTGCTGCCTTTACAACAACCCCGTTGACAGCATAGAAACATCCAGGTCATTTTCTTCTGTGCTTAGACATCATTTATGAAGCACTATCAATGAGCAACTAAAGGATGGTTGAACACTGCAGATGTTTACAGTGACTGATGGTGAAAACCTTTCCTCTTTTGGATAGTTGGATAGGAGCACACAAAGATCTTTTCTCTGCAGTGATGGGGCAGAAAGGCACAAAGAAAACAGAAGCACTGCTGCACAACTCTAAATGTGATTTAACACGGAACTGCTGAGGGAACATAAATCAGGATTTTCTTTTCTTCCTTTTTAATTCCTCACTGTGGTGTTTAAAGCACTATGGTCACATTTGCAGGCCCTAGAAGTTCTAAGGGCTGGATGCTCATGCAAACATTTCCATTTCCAGCCTGCTGATGTGAATCAGCACAAGCCAGCAATGACGGGAAGTCTGTCTGGCAGCCTCCTGGTGCCACATCTAGAAGACAGGCTTCCTCATAACAAATGTCTCGACAACAAGCATTTCTGCTTAAAAGTAGGGCAAGCAAATTAAAGAAAGAGAGAACACAAGTGCAGAACAAACCCTGCTCCCCACCTGAGAGACATCATCTTCAGAACAAAAAGTTGAGGGCACAAGATAAGCTTTAAAAACATTTGTTTTGCATGGAAGGTCTTGAAGCTATCCAGTGGCATGATCCACCAGCATGTTGTTTTTAACAAAATGAAGTTTCAAAAGCCATGTAGGGCAGCTCTGCCTTGGTGCCCTGAGGCTCCAGAAAAGCACCTTAGATGCATGAGTCTCACAGCACTTGCACCTGGTGGTACAGATGTGGTATGCCCATGGTTTCCTGGTAACTCCTTACCACTGGCAGCTCCAATCTCTTTTGCTTTTTCTGCCCTCTCTGCACAAACCACGTGATGGGTGATGCTGCTGTAACTCTTACCTAGAGGAATCTGAACCAAGCAAATCGGGACTTCTCTAGGCATGTTTTCCTGTTCATCATAATAAATACTTTGACTGAAATGAAAGTGCTGGTGTTACTTACAAATAATATTTCAGTACATTTTTCAAAACAGCCACAAGCGTCCTCCAAATAAATGCATACTGCACTTGACTGTGTACTTTCTCTATACTGAACTTAAAAATAAGAACCTGTAGCAGAACCTAAAAAAAATCAGAGACAAAAAAAATTGAAGCAAAGTTTTTACACACCATGCATGGATCAAAGAAATTAGAAGAGTACAGCAGCTAAAACATTCAGATGAAACAGAAATGATAGTTGTGACTCTTCCTTATGTAGTAAGAAAAGAAAATACAAAAAAATAAGGAAAAAAAAAAAAAAAAAGAGAAACACCACTGTTCTCTATTGATGCATGGGTGTTTTCTAGTACTGCAGCAAATGTATACACACAGTTCTGCATTCCAGGTTGCATAGGTTTGAATGCAAACATTAGATACCATTGAGTATTTATTTTTCTGTTAAAGGTCACTGCCAGGTTTGTTTTGTTTGTTTTTTTTTAAGCTGAAAAAAATGCTTTGACATTTCTTGACCAGATAGCTTTTAACTAGAAAGTCCTTATATGTAGATATGTACATGTGTGTATGTTGATAAAACAGACATAGATATATCAGAAATACTTCCTGCTTTCTGAGGAAAGCTAAATTATTACATAGAAGTCTGCTCAGTGTACTAATAAAAATAAAAGACTAGACACTTCTGTGAACTTATTTTAGATGGAGTAAGGACAGATTAAAGAAAAAAAAACCCTGTTTTTCAAAAAGAAAGGCACTTTTGAAATTGACATTGTTCATTGCTGACACAGTTGCTTGCACGACACTGACTGTCTGCAGCGTAGCTTGTGAAGAACTGTGATGCTGCAGGTTCTCTCCCCAATTTGGCAAGGACACCTGGCCAAGTCCTTTGCTGAGCCAGCTGTGTGCATTCCCTCAGTCTGCGTGAGCTGGCCACATTTGTTAGCTGACTGCACAGCACATTCAGTAACTCTAAGCACTTCACTGCTTGCATTGGTAACGCACCACTTACTACCCAGTGATTTGCTGTGCCATTACCATCCACAGCATAAAGAAATCCAAAGGAGGCAGCACAGAGGTGATGCTGGCCCACCATGCTTAGCTACCAGCAAAGCAGGGAAGCTTTGCATTTCAAAATGAGGCAGGGATTGCACAAGAGCTGAACAGTGGAGGAAGGAGGGTGAAAAGGGTCTTTAGCAGAGTGTTTCCCCCCTTCCACTGCCACAAAACTTTGGCAGAAACTCCAAGATCAAGCTTCTGCCTCCAGGATGTATCTTAGAACATCAAATATTAATTGACATATTTCCCAGAAAGAATAATTTGTACCCACTCTTTATAATCTCTGGCTTAGGCCACGTTGCAGAGGCCTGAGCTCATTCACTACTTAAAAGTGAACTTAGTGCCACTTCTTGGTGTGCCTGTCCTGAGATACTGCATTACTTGTTCTGGTGTATGCTCCACCCCAGCCTGCAGAGCACAAAGAAACACCCTGGCATCTTTAAATGGCACAGCCTCCTGCTTCCAGGGCATAGGCATCCTCCTCACAGGGTTTTTCTTCAACCAAAGGTCTGAAATGAAGAGGATAACTACTGACCTCACCTCACAGAGCACAAAACACTCCTGACTTACTGTGCTCTGTAACACTGTGGATCTATCAGCACAAGCAGTCACATAGAAATAAATAACTGCAAAAGCTTGGCAGCATTTAGAAAACATGAATGCAGTGCATTTTTCTCACTGCCTACCACTAATACTCTATCAGGCTATCACTGAGTGCTCAAATGCATCTTTGCACGAGTACTGCACTGCAGGTCACTTGTTGTTCTGCAATACTCAATCTTAGAATGTGGAGAAAAACAATTAATTTTATAATGAAAACTCTGGAATGATTTGAAAGGGCTTTACAGGAACAGAAATGGTTTACTACAGATGCAGCACATTACCATAAGGTAAATGCAGACTGTGAACAGAAAATTGGTCATAAGCAACCTTGCTTCAGAAGATCCCTCTTGGCTTGATCACACTAGCATTAATTCTTCTCTTCATAATGCACAGTGTAGAAGGTGTTGGCCTGTGGCTATCAAGAGATGAAAGCATAGATGAAGCACTGATAGAGCACACCAGGTAAGTAATATGTTCTTGGAAATGAAATGGGCAGGCTCACATCTCAGGAGTGTCTCAAGCTAAATCATTTAGGCCTCTACAAAACTATTTCTAGTGAAGTAAGAAAAGTGGCTAGAAAAGAAATGTCACAGTACACTAAGAACTTTTTTTTTTTTAAACATAGTAGCTTAAGTTTACCTTTATAATTGTAATAATATCTACAAATCTGTATCTTTGTAACTAGATCTCCTCTTGTCAATCACTCTAAACAAAAGCCAAACTATGAACAGTCAGCAATGCAGGGCATTCGTGCACCATGAAAAAGAGTCACGTGCATGTGGAACGAAAGTAAATATTCAGAAAATAAATCCCAGCTTGCAGAAGAATTTCAGAATTAATATTAGATTATCTTTCTGCTTTGGTTGTTCGAAGCGCGACCAAAAAATCTAACAAAAGGAACAGCCAATTTCTGTAATGAAAAATTCTTCAGGAACTGTAATGAATAATATGTATGGGAAAGACATGATTTGCTTAGATCTGTCATTTGGGATGCCTTTCCTCCTGGAAGTTTTCTGCAGAACATTACTAGGAACGTCATCCTCGGGAGGTTTTATTATTTCCAAGAATTGCTAGATGTAAAACATCACAGTGAGTACTAAGAATTCTGAACATACAAGATGACATTTTTTTCTTCCTACAATGAAAATGCATTTATGAGCCAGGGCTAATTAAACAAACCCTTTATCAACCAGTACCCCAGATGTACTCACCCGATTCAAGAACTTGTTTCTTAGACATAGGAAAAAAGTTGCAGTGCAGTGACTGCCTAACTTCAAGCACACGAGAAAACCTGGTTTCTCCGTGGGAAATGCTCAAGCGCTGAAAGCTAGCAGAATGCCTGAGTGCTTGGCTGACTGAAGCAACACAGAGCAATGCAAACAACCAACATGAAAGAACCTGATTCTTGCACGCAAGTGGTCTCAGCAGTCTTAGTAGAAAAACAGAACTGAACAACAGCTACAGAATCAGATACTTCTGGCAATGCAATAAGGCTATTAAATACAGACTCCAATCCACTTACCAAAATACTCTGACTTCCCCCATCTTTCTTTTCTCAACTATTACCAAGGCTGAATATGCACTCTTGTTAGGGTGCAACCCCGGCCTTGCTTTGCTGTTGGCACTGGGGTTCCCCCTTCAAAGTCTTCTCTTCTGTCTTAACATCTGGGTAACATTCAGTGCACAGATAAATTATAGTGATGTATGTAAACAGAAACAAACATACACAATCATCACCACTAGTAAATCCTATTCAAAATACTTGGGAAAAAGCAAGAAGAGTTGACATGCACTTCATTTGAATTTATGTTGGAAAAGTCACAGACAGTGACAGAAAATGTAAAATTGTCAGAAAGCAATAAATTCCTTTAAGACTCATGGAGATAACACAAGTGTATAGAGAGCTGGAAAATGCTCCAAGCCCAGCTACTTAATTTTGTTGGCAAATGTTCTTCTGGCAGCTGCTAGTTGGTGGCATATCTGCCCCCTTCACTTCAGCCAAGCAGAAAGCCAGTGCCTGTTTAACTCCGCCATGATGAGACTGTAAGTACTTTTAACCAAGTCATGCTTTTCCAGAACATTCAGGTTTTCTGCTGAAAGTTTCCTATTCTTCAACAAGTCGTTGTTGTTTTTGAGAAGCTTCTATTACTTGTTCATTATATCTAATTTGAAGTCTCTCTGAAGAATGACATATCTACCTTCACAATGAATGGGAACCAAACCACAGAAAAAAGTAATTAACACCCAACACTGGGACACGATACTTGCAAAGGAGAAAACCTGTTTTTGTACACCAGAAACTCTCAGTCCTTGGTTTGGGGAAAGAAGCACCATCCGAAGGACTAAGCACCAGTTGCCTGTTATATTGAAGCAAATCAATTAAGCCTGCTCAAATCTGGAAACTCATTCCTTGGCATCAACACTCACAGAATGCACTCATTATAACTCACAATCTTCTCAAGAAATAACAAAGCCAGCTGACTCACGGTATCGGGAATTGAGGAGGAAAAAAACCTCTGAAGGAGCATAAAACAAAGGTGGATGAAAAATATATTTGTATGATATGCAGTTTTTGCAACATTTCATAATCTCTTGAAATTCAAATCTTTTGATTTGGGTGAGAAAAAAAAATAGACTTTCTGTTTTTCTGCTGAAGAAACACATTTCAACACAAACAAATGTGCTGTCATTCATTAAATGAGCCTTGCACAAGACCAACTCCAGCAAACCCAATGGCAAAGTTACACCTTCATTCTCTTTCAGATCTGAGGTCTTTGAGGATATTCAGATACTTAGTAGAGTCCACCTCTGTTGCTTTAACCAAGTCAAGGATTCTGAGCAGCTACAAATGCATTTGATGAACCAATATCCAAAAATCCTACCCTCCTTTGTGCTCATTACATGGCTACTTTGTGATCGCATTTTTCCTTGGTGTAAATCCAACCCACAATCAAGCAGGCAAAGGAATAGATGCAAGAAGTATCCAAAACAAATTCAAAATGAGAATGGTGAATACAGGGAGATACAGGAACAAGACACTGCATCAAGCTTTGGAGAAAGTGGTAAAAAAGAATTAAAACAGAACTTTAGACTACATCCAGCAGAAGAAAATCAAGGAATACAGGAAAACTTGCTGTGAGACAAACTCAAGACAGCAACAGAGATGAGGTGAGTATGTTAGTGCAGTCATCAGGTGCCTCCAGGGTGCTGATTCCCATAGGAGAAAACAAAGATTCTCAAGGAGATAGGAAAATATTTCTTTACAGGGAATGGACTTTATCTAGCAAACCTGAGTCTCTGGGAATTAGGATATTCAATGCACAAAGAAAGGATTCTGTAAAACTTTTCAATGGTTTACAGGTTCTTTTTCAGGCAGGTTACATGTAATCTACAATCCACAGTCACTATCAAATGATGGGAAATGCACAAAGGAATTTTATGCATTTGTGTAGCTCCAGCACCAGAGGAGACTGGAGATACAAAGCCATCCTGAGACCTCTGCCTGGAATCAGGGAATCCCTTCTGAAAATGCCCTAAGGCAGTTTGGATACACTAGCTAGAAAACCCCCACAATGAGCAGAAATAGGAAGCAGAAATACAAAATGATACATGTAAATAAATTTCATTAAATAGAACCACAGAAACAAACAGTGGCATAATATGGTAAGTATGAATCCATCACAAGTAATCTACCAATCTTTTACATACACCACAACTCCCAATTTTTATTTTTTATTTTTTTAATATCTCTGTAATCTTCACCAAAACGTACCACAGAGTGAAGAATTTCACTTCTTTTTGGATAAAAATGTTTTCTCCTACAGAACCAGGTGTATTTTTAAATGCATAAGTTCAGGTTCTCTTCCAACATACTAGTTGGCATCAAGTGACAAAAAAAAAACAACCCAACTTTTTTGGTGACAACTAATACATCATAGTATACCTGGAAAAGCAGCCCTAATAACTTGGGAATTTTCAAGTGTAGTCTAAATGTCTCCATATCAATGACTTCTCTTAGAATAAAGTTGGAAACTATAATAGATTATCCCAATTTGGTCATTTGTTGTAGCATGACTAAAGCATTCTCCAGCTTCCAAAAATATATTCATTAAAATATTTGTAAAGAAATTCACCATTTGTTTCATTCTCTTACTTTTACGTGCAGCAACCCAGAACATCTAAACATTAACTATGAGAGAAGATCATTCCACTCTTAAAACAGATCTTTTTATAAGACAAGATCTGTAATCTTGAATTAATTCCTTATTCCCAGTGACACTAGTAAGATTTTTGTGAGACAAAAATGCATAAAATAGGCCTCTTCCATGTCTGTGGTGATCCAGAGATGATTATCTCTTTTTGTAGCTGTTCAACTGTCTTTCTTGCCAATTCTAGGCAACTGACAAACAGCACTAATACAACCAAGAGCTTTTAGTTTGCTAAGAGCAGCAACTGTTAGACTTTTTTTCCTCTATCCTTAAGTGCACTCTCTGACATTTATTCGCAATCCAAAAACCAGTGTTAAATTCTTGTTAATTCAAGTGACATCATACAAATACCTTGCAGTTCTGTGCGTGGTGAAAGTCTTTGATCATACATACCTCTGAAAAGAAAACAGACAGGATGACTAGGCTGATCCAGTGAATTACTCCTGCAAACTGTGAAGCACTTGAAACTGCAATTAACACAATACAATGAAGCATCATTTTAGTAGCAGAATGCAACTTAAGTTTAATATCATCAGTACTGCTACAACTTACATGTGGATTAAGCTTTCTTCTCTAAATTTCATAATGGAAAAACCAGAAAAGAAGCAGGATGTAATGGGACATTTAACTCCAGACCTGTCAGCTGTTCACTCGAATCCAGATCAGCATGTTATCAGCTGCAGCAGCTTTGCAATGGACCATTCACACATCAGACTGCTGGTAAGCAGTGACATACGTGTTTTAGGACTGTTACTGCTGCACACTGTCACTCCATGCATTGCGTTAGTAGAAGATGTGTGACTAGATCCTGCCTACCTGCAAGTTTAGTTAGAATGTTGTAAGGAAACAGTGCTCCACTATTCCCACATTACTCCTTGTATTCATTCTTTGATAATTAAGCTCAGAAGACCTGTAACCGTCTGGAACTGGTCATTAAAAACCAGAGCTTTATAGCCTACTTCTAATCGTATAACTAAGGCTCTCTTTACAGCAGAGACTGTTTTTATGGAGTTAAATCAGTGTCTTGAAACATGGAGAATTTCTCAAGGAAGTTTACTGAAATTCTAGGTTCAAAGTGCCCTTCATTGCTGAAAGCCCAAAGAGTCCAGTACCTGACCTACTGACAACTCTTACTCTGGAGGTCACATACTCTGAATTAAAACAACAAAGAAAAAAAACCTTCTTTCTTTACTTTAGGGCATTAGTGAGTCTACCTTTCCTACAGCAGATGGATTACAATACTCTGTGCAGCCCTGCTCAGAGAGTCATGTACCAGCAAAGCTAAAGGTAATCAATGATTCTGCGTGCATAAAAATGCAAGATTATGGCAGAATTCCCAAGAACACCTACAGCATGCACTAAACTAGGCATCTTATTTTAAAGTTAAAACCGATTAAAATGGAAAGAAGAAGAAAGGAATGTAGAAAGAAGTGAAGATACGAAGAAAAACATTGATGGGCTGCTGCTGGAACTTACACAGCTGAAGCTCATGGGGACTTGATGTCAGAGGGTTTTCTGCAGTGCAGCAGAGGAACTACTTAGAGATGAAACAACAGGAAAATGTAGTACATATACCTATCCCAAGGCACTGTCTTTATAGGGTGGCATAACGAACAAGAAATAGAAACCATCTGTAAGCTATTTTTCAGAGATGCCGATTGACATTAAGGCTCCAGCTGCCCCTTAGTGGACAAAAAATATATAGCAGTAAGAATGTTGAAAGAAAATCAATTTCTGACGGAGGAGATTGCTGGATCCACTGCCAGACAGCATGCAATCAAATTGCCAGTTATACAGTAAATCTGTAAAAGTCTTCCAAGTCAGAAGCTTCTGTTAAAGAGCTGAATCACTAACCCATACTCTGGCTTTGTACATTTGCTTCTTCCAAAAGATTCCCCTTTGTGAAAGGTCTGCAAAATGAGAAGGCTCTTCTCCAAGAGGTGCTCATCCCCCACTCTGTGGCAGCTTGGATATATCCCTGGGATTTGGTTTGAGGCAAAGCATCTAAAAGCTCCTCAGTTGCTACCTATATCAAAACAGCACCCCACAATTATTTTACCTGTTACCCTTTAAAAAAAAAAAACAACAAAAAAAACAGCTAAAAGCCAAATAGTTTTGCTTTCACATTTTGCTTGTCTGGAGCTATGAGGACAACATGAATACAGACCCAGCTTTTTAGTCATGAAGACTACCATTCAGTATAAAAGTTAAGTACAGTCAGCTTCAGTCTAACTCCTCCTTTCATTTATACTCAAAATGCATGTCTGGAGGACAGTAACAAAGAATGCATTCTGACAAATGGTGAGTGGCCATTACAGAAGCTTGTACTACCAGCTCTTGTTTCTGATTGCTGTTGTTGATGATGGTTTCCTGGTAGATACAAGTTTCTGCCAGGTGTAGACAGCAGCTGCTCCCCGCGTGGTTTGGGCAAGCCTTCAACCCATTCATGCAGAGACATCACTGCGTCTCAGTACTCATTTTCCTTGGACAGCTTCACAGACAGTCAGACAGCACCTGATCCAGCAATCAGGTAGCATTATGTGCAGCCTTTCAGGTCCACGGTCTTCAGGAAGACCTGATGCCTTCTACAGAAATACCTGCTGCAGTTGACTGCAGAAGGAGGACTAAGATGACTGCCTGACTTGCTCTCCTCCAAAACTACTGAAGACAGTGAAGGGACAGCATGCTCTGTTTTTCTGAGTACAGGAGTATGGGTTGAAACTTGCCAAGTTCAAAATACTTGCATCACATGATAAGGCATTATTTTGTTAATGCATGCCCTACACATTTGCAGGCCTGGTCTCCATCACTGATACTTTGTGTGTGGGAAAAGTGCTACCAAGGACTGCAATAAAAATATGAGAAAGGTACTTTCAAAATCACACAGCCAGAAAAATGGACTTTTCATGCACTAGTTTTTCACAAAAAAACTCAAAGCACATTAAAATCTCATTTAAAAGAGAAAAAAGACTTCCTAAGCAGCTATCAACTATAACATTTAGCATTTGTTATTACAAACAAAACTGCCATAGTGCATCCTAATGCACTGCTCAATTTCACATAGAATAAGAAATCAATTTCATATAGAACAAGAAATCATCATAAGTTCAAATTACATATATTTTCAAAAAGCATGATTATGCCCTGAATGCTCTTTACCACTTCAAGGTAAGCAATGTACATTCCTTGTACAACACAACTGCAATACCAAGCATCATCAAGATAACCTTCATCTGATTTTAAGCAAAATAGAAAAAGTTCAGCTTAACAAAGGCAAGAAGTGTGATGGGTTGTAATGCAAAGTAGCAACACAGAGCTACATTCTGTTGGGTGCTGAGGGAATCCACACAGACAGGGCAGGGATAGCAGCCTAACAGTAAAATCACCTGACCTGACCAAGCACCTGTAGGTCACATACAAGGTGCAAGCTATGGAGTTTTTAAGGGTATGACATGCACCACATACAAAGAGAAGTGGGCCCTGAAAAATAGTCACCTTTTTGGAAAAATGAATGGTAAGAAAGCAGGTGCTTCCAGAAGAAAGTCTCCAGAACTGTATTAGAAGTCTAAAACAAATCAACAGAAAGAGCTTTTAAACTCTTGGGCTCCACACAAAGAGAAAAATGAATATATAAATATAAAGATACATCTTAGTATTTACTGAGTATCTCATTCCATTTTTAAGGACTTATATCCATAATTAGCATTCTGGACTCATCTGAAAGCTACAGGTTTGTCCAAATTATGGGCTTCCCCATACAAAATGGTAAGTTCCAAGAGACTGCTGAAAATAACAAATGGAATGAAATGGTCACGCTGGTAACTGTGTGTGCAGTATGGACAGACAGGGCTGTGAAGAGAGGTGGGGGCAAGTTTGGGCAAAGTTGTGGAAAGACAGCTCAGTCACTGATTCTTCTTGAAGGGTTTATAAAATGGTTGCAATTACCAATCAAGTCCCCTAAAGTAATCTTATTACAACACTTAAGTCTTACACTGAAAGCTAACTTCACTAATATCAACAGAAAAGTCATGAAAATAGCAAAATGAGAGAATAAAAACTATGCTTGCCTAATTTGAAGTTGCCACAGAGGACACCAGACTGTGACTCTTTCATGCTGTGCATTCATGGAATTGTCTGAACCTCATTATTGACATTTCAATATATTTGCAGGGAGGTGCTAAAGGCTAGTCTACAACAATTAGAGGGAAAAACATTTGTGTTCACAACAGGTTTGTATTGCAAATATTGCAAAAGCAAAAAAAAAAAAAAAAAAAAAAGAATGGAAGAAAACAGTAGTAGGGAAAAAAAATCAACATGAAAAATCGCACTGTGGAACCTGTGTAGAGTGAATTCAGATAAAACAAAACTCCACCTAGGCAGTTATTGGGATCACTGTATATTAGAGTAGAATGATAATCTGTAACATTTCAGCACGCCACAAGATAGAAAACCATAATTTCAATTCCTACCTGCCTCAGAAGTAGTAAATAAGTAAGGAAACGCCATGAAATAACCTAGCGTGTTCTTCACATCTGTCTATCCGTGTGTATACAAGTATCAAGGAGATTAACAATACATATGACTTTTCTCCTTTGTTATGGAGAGTTTCTGACCTGAACGACAGACCTTTCCAGGTACCAGCATACAGATACCTGCACGTACGCTCTGCTCGTATCCTCTGAAAATGTGTCCTATATCAATTTGGTCAGCAAAATAGAGAAGGGACTGACTTCACTATACCAGGGTTCCACAAACACACAGTTCTTGCCTAGCCTCCTAACCATTTACATGGTAGGGAAAAAAAATCCTCACCGATCTCCAACCCACCCCTTCAAAAGCCTCCCGGCAAGTTAAGCCCTTATGTCATTAAAATAAAAAAATTAAAAAAAGAAATCCTCCTACTCACACTGGAGAAGCTTTATATCTATTAGGAGTTCCAGAGTCAGAAGAATCACCACCAACACTACACAGGCTACCAGGAAACTGTTGAGACTTGCACTGAGCAAAAATACCTGCCACACAGCTGCTCGCCTCCCACAGCACGGTTTTAGCCAGTTAGATCTAAGAAAAGAAAATTAAGAGGGGAAAAAAAAAAGAAAAGAAAAGAAGAAGTGAAAAAAGAAGAGAGCTACAGAGCAGTGGACTCAAACAGTAAGTTCTGCTATTATGGATACTCATCAATGCTGTACGTAGACTGTTAGAGTCACTCACTGGTTTCTTTACTAAGGTTGGGCCATTTTCCAAATGATTACAGTGTTAAATCCTGTTTGCATTTGTCAACTGCACCATCCACTTTAATGAGCACGGTTAATTGCAACTGTTACACGGGCATAACTTCACCCTGGGGATCAGTTGTGTCTCAGCTTCAATGAGTTTCCCCAACCCTCCTGAGTACACCGATGCTCAAGTGTCTTCCAATGGTCTGAGTAATGCAACACTGATTATCATACAATGCTTTTCCACTTTCTTCCTGTCTCACTATTTTTCATGCACCTTGATTTTGATATACACGCTGCAGTTACTTATCTGTGGTAACCAAGACACAAAAGGACTCAGCTGTTCAGTTAGAAGGTTTTATAACAGATTATCTGGTATTTAAAGTTACGGTCTTGCACCTCATCCCTTCTCAGGTATGAGACAAATCAGACAAGAGGAGCAATCAGTTGCACATTATGGAAAAGGAAAAACAAAATTTTGGAAAGGACCAAAGAGTGGTTCAGATACTCCATAACTCAGCCTATACCAGCAAATAGTAGACAGCCAAAGTGTCAAGCAACTGGCTGGGGCTGTCTAGTTCACCTACTTTGAGTAAGCCAGCAGTCTATTTGTGCACCAGGCTAAACAGAGGTCACCTTGTTTTGGAGGAAAAAGAAGGATCAGCCAAAGTGAAGGGAGCTGCACTATGCCACTGATTTTAAGGGTCAGAGAGCCCTCGATGGCTTACTTAGTAGTACAGATGTAGACTGTGAGTTCCAAGGTTCAAATGAACCATGAGAAGAAATTAAAAACAAACAAACACACACAATGAACAGAGCTATTACTTCAACAGCAAGTAATGCTGCTTGCTAAATTACGGTCCACAACAACTCCCTGTTTTCCAATGTGTGTTTTCAGGAGCGATGAAATTCAAGACATCACTTGGATCAGTACCAAATCTGCTGTAATTGGTTTCAGCATCAGCTAATAACCACCATCCAGCTAAGAGTGCAGCTCATTCACTGCAACACCCAGGTTCCAGTTGCTAGAGCAGCTTTGTATCTTTGCAGAAAACTATTACTATCCTGGTTCCCTAAGTAGCTGGCAGTCACCACCCTCTGCAGGGTTGTCAGAACTTTTGGCTCTAACCAAAACCAGTAGCTGGATTTCAGAAGAAAACTTGTTTATTGCAGGGAGAGAAACTGGAAGAATTCCTGCTGAGTACATCTGTGAGGATGAGAGCTCTGGAAGGAAGCTGATGAATCAATAAATGTTTTACCAGCACTTTCCCAATACAGATACACATTTTAAAATGGGTTGTTGAAACTTCCTGCTTTTTCTCTTGAAAATACTTCTGTCAGGAATCACGGTAGCATGCTGTTCAGAAATAAAAAGCCCATCCTGATAATTTTTTTTCCTTCTAAAATTCTCCCATAGTTTATTACTGGTACAGTATTTATTGTATCATTTCTCCTCATAGCATTTTGTAACGTTCCTACACTGGCCCAAGTATTCCAGCCTGTAGCAGCAATTCAAACCAGTTTTTTCTCAATTGTGGCCTGAAAAGAAATACATAAAACAATCATAATGCACTAAAAAATACACAAGGCACTGGATTTTAAATACATTTTTTTTAAATCTAAGGAAAAAAGAGCATTCTAATAAGGCCTTTCAGCAAACTTGTCATTTTTTAATGGATTTTGTTTGCCTCCATCTCAAAACAGGATAACCTGTTCTTACCACAGCTGGTATTTTTGTTTGCTTGTTTTCCAAGATCTTCCCAAAATAACACTAGAGACTGGTTTTGTCTATTTAGTACAGGTTTTAGTTCTATCCTCATCTTATCTTTACCCTCCTGTTTCCAAAAAGACCTGCTTTGCCAGCATTTTAGCATTGCAGGGTTGCTTTTCTTATTTCCTATTCTCAGAACGATCAGTAGAGGGCCTAAATACACTCTTCTAAAAATTCTATGTAGTTAAGATTTTCAAATACTACAAGTGTATCACTAAGCAATCTGTGATACTCAGCATGCATTACCTGCAGACATGATAATCTTTATTCAAGTTAATCATTACTTAAAGAAACACTAAGGAATGCAGACTTATTCTATCTACCCTGTTTCAATATTCTCCCAATTCCAAAATGCTTCTGTTTGAAATTACCAACTTATGTCTGGAAAAGCAATAACATTAAGAGGTGAAGTGCAGATCATCTGCATGTTTGCTCCTATATATCACTCCTATAATATATAAATTGATTTCAAGTACATGAAGTGTTTGAAAATTAAGCCTGGAAACCTATCTTCAGTTTCCAATCTTAATTCACTAAACCAAGGTGCACTTGTTTAATGCGTGTCCTATGAGCAACAATCAGCACCTTCAGCTAGCAGACAAGCTCTTCACAGATCTTCAAGTCCTCTGAATCCACTGACACCAATACTTATATCAAGCTCTAAAAAAATGGTGCACAGGACGGTTTTTTTCTTGGAAGCTGAGAATTTAGTTCATTTACCACGTTAATTTGACACAACTGTATTATAGAGTCCTGATCTTCCCTTGGTCTGTTTTGTTTTTTCCTACATATCTTCTGTAAAGAAAGGACATAAATAAAATGAACTACAACTAGAAATATATTTTATGCAGATAAATCTATTGACACACTAACCACACCAGATCCTAATAAACAATCTCTTCATCTCCTTCAGCGCTCTAAACTGTCTTAGTAGAGTATCTCTTTCTCATGATATAAGGGTCATCCATTCAGTAGAGGAGAAATCTGGTATTTGAGAAAAACAAATCCATACCAGAACTAGGGAGGGTTTAAATCTACCTTCCAAATCTTGGCCTCTGCTCCTCTATTCAGTAGGATTATCATCTACCTGCCTTACAGTGCCTAGATGAAATAAATAAGGAATATGTTGGCTGATAGTGATGCAGGGTTATGAGAAATTTAAGTATACTGTGGAATTTTACTGGGGTAAGTCTTTTTAAAGATACTTTCACACATGGCTGTGTGGAAAACCAATCTGTTATCATCACTGCTAGTTTTATTAATAAACAGCTTGGAAAAAAAAAAGAGCATAAGGCAAAACTGGGAAAGGTTTAACATATTTCTTTGGTAAGGAACAACTACAAACAATTTGTTCAAGCTGTTAACAGCTGTCACTGTTTCTATTTTCTGATGTAGCAAACAAATATCCCAAATCTGTATTATACCTTACCCTGGTTTTTGGTTGGTTTTTTTTGTTTTTGTTTTTGTTTTGTTTTTTGGCTTAGTAGCAAGTGTTTGCATCTCACAAGATGGATATGATTAGCAACCAGAAGGATGGATAAGATCCAAATCACTAACTGAAGGAAAAAAAAAGCCATGGTCAGGAAGTAACTGAAACACAGAGTTTCAATAATACAAAACCTGAGACCAAACAGACAGGAGCCTCACAGGAGACTACAGAGAGCAGCTGGAGGCCTTTGGCAATTGTAATGAACAAATAGAGCTCTGCATCCCTCTCCCAGGCTTTTCCTACAAGAATAGTTTAACTACTGAGGGCAGCCTCATCCTTTTTCCACTAGAAGTCTTACAGTTTCTAAGCCAGCTACAGTTCTTAGAGGACTGCTGCAAAACTCTGTTGTTCTAATGGCAAGAAAGGCCTCCTGACTTCATCCTAACCCCAAACCCAATACAGCCAGTACTTGTGTCAATCCTATTCTTTGTCTGATTGCTCTTTTCCCTTGCTGGCATTTTGTCCATGATACATTCATACACAGCAATGACATTTCCTCATTTAAAGAAGCGAAGTTGGGAGGAATTGTCAGTCTGTTTGGGGGGTAGGAAGGCCCTACAGAGGGATCTGGACAGGCTGGATCACTGCACTGAGGCCAGTGGGATGAAGTTGAACAAGACCAAGTACCAGGTCCTGCACTTCAGCCACAGCAACCCAAGGCAACACTACAGGCTGGGGGCAGAGTGGCTGGAAGACTGCATAGAGGAAAAGGAGCTGAAGGTGTTGGTCTGTGGTCAGCTGAACACAAGCCAGCAGTGCACCCAGGTGGCCAACAAGGCCAGTGGCATCCTGGCTTGCGTCAGAATCACAAAGCAAATCCAGCAGGAGCAGGGAAGTGATCATCCTCTGTACTCAGCACTGGTGAGGCCACACCTCAACTACTGTGTTCAGTTTTGGGCTCCTCAATACAAGAAAGACATTGAAGCCCTGGAATATATACAGAAAAGGGCAACAAAGCTGATAAGGAGTCCAGAGCACAAGACTTATGAGCAGAATACCTGAGGGAGCTGGGACTGGTTAGTCTGGAGAAGAGGAGGCACAAGGGAGATCTTATCACTCTCCACAACTCCCTGAAGGGAGGCAGTGGCAAGGTGAGGGTCAGCCTCTCCTCTCGTGTAACCAGGGATAAGACTAGAGGGAATGGCCTCAAGTTGCAGCAGGGGATATTCAAAATTAGATGTTCTTCTCCAGAAGAGTGGTCAGGCATTGGAATGGGCTGCATAGGGAGCTGGTGGAGCCACCATCCCTAGAGGTGCTCACAAAATGTTCAGACGTTCTGAGGGACAAACTGGTGATAGGTGGACAGTTGGACTGAATGACCTTGGAGGTCTTTTCCAATTCTGGTGATGCTATGAACACAGACAATAGGAACCGCACATAATATTTTGGAATAGGTATAATTACATCAGTGCTTTTCAGCTCTATCTGAAGTATCTTAGCTGATGCTTTCTAAGCTCATTTTTGCCTTCCTCACAGATATATATATATATATGTATATATCAGACTATTTTTGCCACAGATATAATGTGATTATATTATATATTATATATATTATATATATTATATATATATATATTAAAACGAT